ACCATAGGCGAAAATCATAAAGGAAAAGATGAAAAAAGATTTGAATATGAAAGACCAAAAGCTTTTGTATGACAAAGAACAACATAAGACTGAAAGGTAAATGACAGACTGGGAAAAAGTATTTACAACATGATAGACTAAAGGTTAGTGTCCTTGACATATGATGAGCATGTTTAATAAGTAAAAAATCAGTGAGTAAACCAAATGATTTGTAACAATAAACATAGGACCCAAATAACCAATTTACTAAAGAATAAATACAAAAGGAGCAATAAACGAAGAAAAGGAAAATTTTAGTTTAACAAGAGTTTTTTTTTTTATTAATCAAAACCAAGAAGAATGATAATAGCCAGTATTCTTGAGGGTGTAGAAAAAAGGACTCATGCATTGCTAGAGGACTTAGTAATTTGATTTTTTTGAGTTTTGCTTAGTAAAGTCAATAGAGAAAGTACACAAAGATAAATATTTAAGGATAAACATTGCAGAAAAAAGCAAAAGGAAATAAACTGAATATCCGTAGTAGGGAACTGATTGCATCAGTTAAGCATATAATGGAAAGCTAAGCAGGTATTTTAAAAAAAGGTTTATGTTGTTATAACTTTGTAGAGATGGGAAAATGTTCATTATTTCTTGCCTGAAAAGAGAATAAATTTCTTTTGAGACATGAAGCCATAGTGATAAAATGTATTCCAGTTTCTCTAGAATCCAGTCTTTCTTAGATTTTTAAAAATACCTGAGCTTTACAATACTCCTTATATTTATATTCCTTATATTTATCCTTTTATAAATTGTGCTTCATGATAGCTATTTAAGGATGGAAAGGAGAAAAATTCTTTCCAGAAACACAGTATAGTTGTTTTATGTTCTTTCATCTTCCATTTTGTTTCCCAGAATCTTTTCATTTCCTAGTTATAACTAAAACTTTATTAAATATGATAAATCTCAATTATATTCTGTCAAGCATAACTGTAAATATCTAAAAGAACTTGACTTTTTGGAAAGCGTATGTATATATTTAGTGGAAATCAGAGACACTGATTTATTTTTTTCAGTCACATATCTTTTAATGCCCAGGTGGTTTCTGTGGGTGTAAGTAAAAGTGTAATCTGTAATTTTTATCAAAATTATCCAATTAGTAGATACACATTATGTTGACATGTCTATCTACACTCCAGTGCCTTATTTAACAAAGGCTACTGTAGTCTTCAGGGTCTCATTAGAATTTCAAAAATAGTCATACTTTAGCCAAAGTGTAACCTCTAATACAACTAAATATTTCCTTTTAAGTTCGACAGAAAATATTTTGGTGCTTTAACCATCATTAATGAAAAAAGGGGCCCCGAATTAACTACACTTCAATCTGAAGATAGCAGTGTCAACATAGGGATAATTCAGTAAATAAGAATGCCTACTGTGTGCCAGGCGCTCTGCTAAGATGTAACAACTCCTGATTTCAAAGGAGCTCACCATCCAATGGCAGAGACAAACATGGAGAAAAAAATAGTGTGATGTGATAAGTTCTGGGAGTTTGTCAAAAAAAAAAAAGTACCTTGGAGAACAGAGTGGGAGTAACTGATTCCCCGTGTCATGCAGCGTGAGTCACTGATTATGGATGGGCATCAACCTTAACATTCAGGAGTCAGTACAGACAGATCCAGGCCCTGCCCCTCACTGGTGGGATGATCTTGGGCAAATGACGTACCCTTTCAGAGCCCCAGTCTCCTTATGAATCACAGTCTGTACCTACTGTACTGGAGTATTGCAAGGATTCAATGGTATAAAATATGTAAAGGGCGTTGCAAACAAGGCAGTTGATAAAAATTAATTCTCTTCTTTCTTCTTAGTAGCATAAATAATAAAAGTATATAAGTTAAATAGATTAAGTCATATCCCATTTGTTGTTTGCAATAATTTGGACGTAGGCTAAACTGAAATTTATTCTTGTATTTTCATATCCTGGAGAATTCTTTGATCATTTGGTTTATTTTTCATGCAATTTTAGTATACTTATTCTGGGTTGGGTTTTTTTCACTTTACATATCATAAACCTATTTCATATGGCTTTTTTTTTTTTTTGAGGAAGATTAGCCCTGAGCTAACATCTGCTGCCAATGCTCCTCTTTTTGCTGAGGAAGACTGGCCTTGAGCTCACATCCGTGCCCATCTTCCTCTACTTTTTATATGTGGGATGCCTACCACAGCATGGCTTGCCAAGCGGTGCCACGTCTGCACCCGAGATCTGAACTGGCGAACCCTAGGCCGCTGAAGCGGAAAGTGTGCACTTAACCACTGCACCACCAGGCCGGCCCCTCATGTAGCTTTATAGCATTCGTTCTTGTTTTTTTCAGCTAATGATCTTTAGTTTAAAAGGCCATCCCTACTTAGGAAAAAGATACATTGTGATTTGCCGTTGAAAGAACATTGAGAAAATTATTCCTCGTAATTCCAGCTTACTCAGTATGAGGAGCAGAAACCAAAAATACTGTATTTCACTACCTGCTATAGGAACAGATAGAAATTCTGGATTGGTTAACGACTTCAGGCTCTGTGTAGTCCTGGTAAAAGCTCTTTGACCAAAGTAACTCTCTGCAGTTGAGTCCTTTCATCAACTCAAGCCTTTGTTTTCTGTCGAGTTACTAAATATGAATTGAAATCATGAATTACGGTCAGGATGTTTGACCTAGCCAAGTCTTAAAGCATCTTGTCCCCACCCTCACCCATCTGCCAGCGGGGCTGGTTGACCAGTGTGGAAGATCAGACGGGGTTGTTCTGTTCATCTGCTTGTGCCAGGAGACAGTGCTTTTGGAATGCCTTCCAGTGGCACTTGGGTCTGGCTGAGGACCACTATCAGTTCTCACAAGCCTGAGCAAAGGCTGTGTTTAATTCCTGATCTCCTGCACTGCAGGGCTCAGCTCCAGATCTAAGGCCTGCCTTTTGGCATGGGCCTTGGGAATACATGTGAAATAAGGAAGGTCCTTGAGAAAACTTAGGAGAAAAAACTACTGATGTGTATGAAAGGATCAAGAGCAGGATGGGCCAGATATTTTCTTAGTGAATGCAAGACTCCGTCATACTTACCTATAACATAAAAGCAATTTTGAAAGTGTGTGTTTAGTGAATAATAATTTCGACAATACGTTATTCTTCTCAGAGTGTGTGTGTGTGCACACATACACACACATCTTTAGGTAGTCTTCACAACCAACCCATGTATTTAGGAAAGCCTCTTACGGTTACACCCTTTTAAAAAATCCACATATCCCGCCAACATGTTTTGAATACCTCTTAGGTACCAGGCTCTGTGCTAGATGTTAGAAGTCAGAAATAAAGTTTTATAAATTTGGTATATTTTCTTCGAATGCATTTAGTTTACTGTAGCACCCATAGATATCACACACACACACACACACAGACATAAGTTTTCCCCTTGTGTGTACAGTCTGAAGGTGACTTTTCTTTTACTCAATGTTTTTGAATTCTAGCGTAGTTTACACATATAGATTTGTTTTGTTTTTTTACATGGTTTTTGACATTCCATCATATAGAATAGTCACATTTTACTTATCCACTCCCTTCCTAACAGATGTTTTACTTGACTCCACCTTACAGTACCACAAGTAATGCTGCCATGAACATCTTATTACACAAGGGTCCCTTGTGGAAGTGTCTGCAGGGTGGCTGCCTCCCAGTGGGTCGGAGGGTGTGGGCATGTTCCTGTTTATGAGTGCCATGAGGTTGTCCTTCAGAATGGCTGCATTTGTTTATTCTCCCACCAGCAGCTTACGAAAACAAGTATTTCCTCAATCCAGCTGTATTTGATGTTGTCAGAATTTTATTTTTTGCCAACCTAATGGTTGACAGGATTATTTCTTGTTTCATGCTTACACATTTTGGAGAGTCCCATCCCGCAACCATGCTGTGCCAGAGTATAACAAGGGACTGCCAAGACCAGATCCAACTTTGCACGAAACAAAAACATACACCCAAAAGCGTATGTTATGTTGCGTTATTTCCAAGTGTACAAGGAATTTTCATGTAGGATAAAAAGGTTAAACAGACTCATTCTGTCAGCAAACATTTCCTAAGCATTTGGACTAGGCACTAGGATTACAAAGGTCAACAGATTATAGTCTCTGACATCAATCAGGGTTCTCGTTTCCATGGAGGAAAGAGGTACTTAAAGCTGTAGGTTCTGCAAATGCTGTGGTAGCGAGTGTTCTAAGGACTATAAGAGAACAGAGGGAGAAGAATATCATTTTAATTCTCTTAATGATAGAGAATGGATGTTAGAAAGTCACCAATTTCAAAAGGTAGTAAATGTCACCTTCAGTGTTTAAAAAGATGTTCACACCTTTACTTTTCAGCCAGACGCTACCGTAGTATATATATATGACAGAACACTCCCAAGAGCTCGGTAAGCTGTAGACAGGCTCACAGAAGAGAACTTCTCCCTGAACACCCCGTGGGAACACAGGTGAGAGGTGCCTGTGCTCAGCACATCACCTCCACCAGCAATGAACAGTTTCTCAGCACTAGGCATGTGCTCAGCACCGTGCTAGGTGCAGAGGTGCAGGCACATACCACAATGTGTATGACATGGTTCCTCCTCATTGGAAGCTCACAATCCAGATGGGGAAATAAAACAACTTATGTTTAATGACATTTTGATACTAACTCATGAGAAGAAACATAACCAAATTTAAACAGTGCTTCCATATGGCCCACTGACCATAGAAAGGAAACTTTAATGCCTAGACAAATGTCTTAGAGGGAAATAATGAATAGAATCGTAAATTGGTCCAGGTACTGAGCTACAGTTTAGAAGAGTAAATAAAATTGCATATGGTAAGCTCTTAATATATAGCCCTACGCATAGTAGGCACGCAGTACACTTTTAACATCTTTTTGGATTGAGAGACTATTGTTAATAACTGGGACTTATTAATACAAATATGTCAAGAAAAATCTTTTTTTTAGTTTTTTATTTTTTTGTGTTTTAGGTCAAGAAGTGGTTTTCAAGTGCCTTGGAGAAGGAATTCTTGAAAAAGCCTTTCAGGGTTATAATGCGTGCATTTTTGCATATGGACAGACAGGTAAGTAGCTGCTTTTATATATAGTCAGTGATATTAAATATGCATTTCTTAAAACAGAAACAGAAAGCACTTTGGGAAGCGACAGAAAAATGCTTCTGACTTTGTGGGTTTAACTGAATTAGATGATCAAAAGTAACCTTCTTTTTGAAGGTTCAACAGTTTCGGTACTTGAGTAATTTCAGTGTTAATGAGCAAAGCTAGTTTCAAACTATTAAGTGTCATTTTCCTAAACTATAGTTTTAACCTGTATTTGAACTAGAACAATAATTACCAGTTTCTCCGTATAAACGTTATGGTAAGAAACTATAGAAAAACCCAGATTATCATCCTATATAGAGGACTTTTCACAAAGATACAAGAGTGAGGAAAGATTATTAAACCTAGGCTCGTGGCACAGTTGGTTGAAAAAACGTACTAGTGGCTCAGCCATTAACACTGAGCCACCATTATTTCAACTTAAAGTGGAAGTAAATCAATAAATCAACAATACTGCCCATTGTCAATCACAGGACAACTAGGAGACTCAGGCAAGAGAATATATAGCAAAGCACTGTCACAAGTATAAAATATTTGGGGGTAAAATACTGTTCATGATACTTGATAATGTATAGTTGATATTTACTATACATACTTTTAAAGATTATGGATTTTTAGTGGTTAGATTTATACACATCCATCTGTAAATGAGCTGCCCTCAAGATCTTGCCCTGAGAGTTAAACTGGAGGCTGTGAGTGTAATGGAAAGAACAGCACCCATGTTGTCCGAGGGCCGGGGTTTGAGGGCGAAGTTTGCCACTTGTGCTGTGTGGCCATGGCTGATAAATGTAGAACACTTGTATGGTTGAAGCATACAACTTGGTTGTATGCGTTACGTGGTTGAAGCATTACATTTCGCTTCCTCTTCTATCCTCCTTTCTTTCTGCTTCCTCTTCTCCAGGCTCAGGAAAATCCTTCTCCATGATGGGCAATGCTGAGCAGCTGGGCCTTATTCCAAGGCTCTGCTGTGCTTTATTTAAAAGGATCTCTCTGGAGCAAAATGAGTCACAGACTTTTAAAGTCGAAGTATCCTATATGGAAATTTATAATGAAAAAGTTCGGGATCTTTTAGACCCTAAAGGGTAAGTTAGTGGTTGAAATTAAGATTGTAATAGGGGTAATAATTTCGAATGATCCTAAAGTTAAAACTGCAAGTGAATATATTTTTTTGAGCCCTTGGTTACTACTCTGGTTTTGGTTAATTTACTGAGAAATCATCAGCTTCTCAAAGCCTGTTGGTATACTCAGTATTCATTGTTTATCCTATGTTCATGTATAAAGTTCTTCCATATGCAATTTAGAAAGATGTTTTTACTATCGGTATTATTTTGCCCCCATAATTTATTCATAAACACTGAGTTAGAATGGCACATTGGGGGCCAGCCTGGTGGCATAGTGGTTAAGTTCGTGCATTCCGCTTCTGCAACCCAGGGTTCACAGGTTCAGATCCTAGCTGCAGACATACACACTGCTCATCAAGCCATGCTATGGTGGCATCCCACATACAAAATGGCACAGCTCAGGGACAATCTTCCTCAAGCAAAAAGTGGAAGATTGGCAACAGATGTTAGCTCAGGGCCAATCTTCCTCACAAAGGAAAAAAAAAGGAATGACACATTGGTCCTTCCATATTTGTTGGAAAGCAACACCTCTAAATTGGAGGTAAAGTAGTTGAAGGATTGAAACAACACAGCCTAAGCAACTCATTCTCTCTGGGGTGAGCATTGGAATCACATGAAGGGCTTTTTAAGGCTACACTGGCCTAAGCCACATCCGTAGAGGCTATGATTCAGTAGGACTGGCGGAAACCCACGTATCTGTATTTTTTAAGAACTAAGTGATAATAAAAAGCAGGTCAGTTTGATTTATAGTGATAGGAGAGGGCCATGTACTTTCTTTTTTTAATTAAAAATTTTTTTACTGATTTAAAAATAACATTTATAAAAAATTTAGAAAATAGGTAAAATGTAAGGAGATAGAAATGACCTTTCATTCTACCACTCAAAAATAAACTGTTAGTACTTTAGTGCATTTTGATCCTATGTTTCAAGTCTATGATGTGTGTATGTTTGTGTGTCTGAGTTGAGGTCATTCTCTAAGTACAATTCAGTATCCTGAATTTTTTTATGTAACATAATGAACTCTTTCTCGTGTCATTAAAAAATATTTTGAAATGCTTTTAGCAGCTGTATAATCAAGGATATAATCAAAGGTATAAGATCAAAATTATGGGTGGCAAGGAAGGGACCAAATCACAGGAAATGTTTATATTTAAAGTTGTTAACTATGTAATGCATATGAAAGACCATTTATAGTACCTGTAAGATGTAAAGAATAATAAAATCAACGACTGCCCTACTCAGCATTTGGGTTAATAAATGGAATATCCCATTCCATTCCCTACCCCTCCCCAGAGTAACTACTATTATGAATTTTGTGTTTCTCATTATCCTCCTCTTTAGAGTTTACACGTAATTTTGCACAATTTTTAACTTTGTGCAGTGACATCATAGTATATTTGTCCTTGGGTGGCTTGCTATTTTTCCCCTCAATGACTCATCCGTTCTGCTATATGAAGTAATGCGTTAATTTTTACTGCTCTTTAGTATTCCATTGTATGATTAATCCATAATTTGTTTATCCCACCGCCTGTCATTTGTGCGGTTTCCACTTGTTAGCACTACAGTGCTGCTCTGAGCCTCTTTGTACGGTTCTCCTGGGGTACAAATGCAGGAGTTTCTAGGGAATACATCAGGAGTGGAATTGTGGGTCACCAGATACTGATTCTTCAACTTTATTAGGTACTGCCAAACTGTTTTCCAAAGTGGTTGTACCACTTTACACTCCCACCAGCAGTGTACAAGAATTCCAGATGTTAGACACCATCTCCAGCACTTGATACTGTGCTGGATTTAGGTTTTTTGCTCATGAATAGCGTTAAAGAATCTCTGGTTATGCAAGTGAAGTGGGCTGAGTTCTGGATCCTGTGCATCAAAGCATCTCTCTGGAAGATGTGCATTTGGTCTGCCCCTGTTTAGGTCCAGCAGAATCGCTCACTGTCACACTGAATTCTTCATTCTTAAAGTTAGTATAGGCTACTTTGTTAGGGTTATTGCAAGATTAAGTCAAATAACTTAAAAGTTCTTAGGGAACAATGCCGAGACTTTGGGAAGTACCCAGTGATTCTTAGCTCCTTTTTTCCATGCCAAGCATTGACTCTTGATTTGAAAGGTGATTAATATCTGATGCCATGAAAAAGGTGACATACACAGTATGGTCATAATATATGTAGCTTTGCTTTTAATCTCAGTTATCTATTGATGAACTGTTCAAATGGGTTCCAAACCAGGTTTGCTATTTAGAAATTCAAAAGAGCCCTAAAATCTTCACGAGCACAGCCAGTTCTAAACAGAGGATGAACGTCAGTGACTACAAACAATTGCTGTGCTGTAATATCACTTTCTGTATAAAATTGTCAGCCCAGAAGTGGCATAAATCAATGCAGACTTGAAAAAGTAAATTAAAACACTCTAATATTGTTCACTACTTGGTCAAAACTTTAAGACATTATTTACTGAGAATGTGCCTATTTATAAAATAGCCTTAAGGTTAAATTCAGTTCTGGCATGTTCTTTGCTGCTTTTTCTTTCTTTTTTTTCCTCCTATGTGAAAGTGAAGTTCATCTACTAAAGTGAGTTAGCCTAACCTAGTATTCTATGTGCTGGCTGTTTTGTTTGGGAGTAGAAATAGAATTTTTTAAATAGTAAGTTCCTTTAAATAGAATTCAGAGTATAAAAGACATTCCTCGTAAGGAATGCTGTTTTGCTAATCCAAATAAAGTAGCTTTTAGAATATTTTTGATCATTAAAAAAATTCTTTTGAAATTGCAATATTAGTTACTGAGTGCTGAAAAAGAAAAAAAGCTTCCAGGTTTGGTCTGATTCATTCATTTCTTTTTCCTTCCTCCCAAAGGAGTAGACAGTCTCTGAAAGTTCGCGAGCATAAAGTTTTGGGACCGTATGTAGATGGTTTATCCCAACTGGCTGTCACTAGCTTTGAGGTAAGTGTCATTTTTAAAAAATGTCATTACAGGGCTGGCCCCATAGCCTATGGTTAAGTTTGGCACACTCTGCTTCAGCGACCCAGGTTTGGTTCCTTGGTGTGGACCTACACCACTTGTCAATAGCCACGTGGTGGTGGCAACCCACATACAAAATAGAGGAAGATTGGCACAGATGTTAGCATAGGGCGAATCTTCCTCAGCAAAAAAAAAAAAAAAAAAAAAAAAGTCATTAAAAAACTGGCAGTAAACTGAAATGTGTAAATACTGTTGAATATATTTTTATCCAAGTACTTTATAGCATATTGATACCATTCATGATCTCAGAAACCCAGTATCAACACCCCCAAACAGAAAGAAAGGGCTTTTAATCACACTTTGCAACCTACTTTATTGTGAAAATTTTACAGTGTGGCTGTACAGAGAGGCTGAGAGGTTTTGCAGTTGCTGAATATTTTCACTAATACCACTCTGTTGAAACTACTCTCCCTTGGGTTGCCAGTGATGTCCTTGTTGACAAATCTGGACAAATGTGAACAGTATTTGGTAGTTAATTCAACCCCTTCTCTTTGATAGGATTTCCTGCCTTAGTTCCCATTACTTTTTCTTTAAGGTATGCTTTTTGGTTTTTGGTGAGGAGGATTGGCCCTGAGCTAACATCTGTTGCTGATCTTCCTCTTTTTTTTCCCTCCCCAAAGACCCAGCACATAGTTGTATATCCTAGTTGTAAGTTGTTCTAGTTCTTGTATGTGGGATGACGCCACAGCATGGCTTGACGAGCAGTGCTGTGTTGGTGCCCAGGATCTAAACCAGTGAACCCCAGAGCTGGAACACATGAACTTAACCACTCAGCCAAGGGGCCAGCCCCCAATTTTTTTTTTTTTTTTTTTTTTTTGAGGAAGATCAGCACTGAGCTAACATCTGCCACCAATCCTCTTTTTTTCTGAGGAAGACTGGCTCTGAGCTAACATCCATGCCCATCTTCCTCTATTTCATGTGGGACACCTACCACAGCATGGTCTGACAAGCAGTGCATAGGTCTGCACCCGGGATCCGAACCGGGAAACCCTGGGCCACTGAAGCGGAACATGTGAACTTAACTGCTGCTCCCCCAGGGTGGTCCCCTAGCCCCCAATTTCCATTACTTTTTGCTCTTCTGGTTGTTTTATTTTTCTGAACGGCTCCTCCATTGGCTGACCTGTTTCCTTTTCCTACTCCTTGATTTTTATGCCTTCTTATGTCCTGACTCGATGCTTTGCCCTTATTTTTATTGTCATTGCTTTGGAAATCTCATAAAACAAACTGCTGTCTGTTGCTGAAGAATGCCGATGAAAGAATGGGTGAATCCATCCCTATACTTAGTTGGGCTCTCTCTGTGTTGTGGCTGTCCCGTCATCACCTCAGACTCAGTAGGACTCAAATTAGTCTATGAGGTAACTCTCTAGATGTTTAAAGGAAGACGTTTTTAGTATTGCTCACATCAGAAATAGGGTGCAGTCGTCACTTTAGACACATGGAAATTCTGAAATGAATGGAGACTTCTCTGGCATAAAGGTGCTGAGTCAGCACATTTGCTAAAGTGCCAGGTTCGTAGAGCAGTGTGGTTGGGGTCAGTGTCCATTTCATCCTGTCACTTATTACTGAGAGCTAGGGAGCTTGTGATTTGCGTCCCAGCTCTGCCTCTTACTCGATGTGGGGAAAGTTATTTCACTTCCATGAACTTCAGTGTCCTTGAGTGTGAAATCAGGGAAATACTTCTATTACAAGCTTCCTTCATCAAATGTTGTATAAGAGCCCATAGGTTCCAGGTGTTCTAAGACAGGTGTACAAAGATGAATAAGGAAAATCCCATGTTCTTAGAGAGTCATGGTGTGGGAGGAGGAAGGCAGATAAGCAAGCAGTAGATAGCTATGCAGTGTTGTCAAGCACGGCAGGAGAGGTAAGTGCCGTTATTGAGGATCTGCAGTGCTCAGTAAATATCAGCTCTTTTCCGCCCTAGGAACTTGCAAAGGCGAAAACAGGGACTTAACAGAGAAAGAAGACAATTGTGGGATGGAGAGAACGGAATAAACATCTCAGACACTAGAAAGCACTGAGGGAAGCTCAAACCAAGCTCAATGGAGGAGAGGCAGGGAGGTTTTTATGGAGGGGTGGTGACGAAGGCATCAGAGGGATCATAATGAATACGTACCCCTGGTGGGCAGGACTGTGTTCTTGTGTTTTATGCTTGTAATTCTTTCCTTATGCTTTGCCTCTAGGATATTGAGTCACTGATGTCTGAGGGAAATAAGTCTCGGACGGTAGCTGCAACCAACATGAATGAAGAAAGTAGCCGCTCCCATGCCGTGTTCAACATCATAATCACACAGACGCTCTATGACCTGCAGTCTGGGGTGAGGGATTGGGTGGAACCTTTAGGGGCGTAAAAGAACTCAAGACACCTGCATGGGCGGAGGGTTTCATGCTTGGATTCAGTTGCTGAGAATTTTATGCCCACTCTTCTACTTACTAGATGAGCTACTTTGCTTAAATTATTTAATTTATTAGGTCTTCCTTTATGTATAACTTTTCTTTAAAAATTGGTGTTCTTGTGTCAACTCCCTAAAGAGTGTGATGATGTCACCATACAGCTTTTAATATGTATCCTTTCGTACTGAAATTCTCCTAAAAACAACTGAGTCTACCTCACAGTCGTGAAAGGGACATTAAAGAGGAAACCACAACAGTTCACCTAAAGAGCACTTTTGTAAAAGAAGAGGAATTTGACCTGAATGTGCAGGAATCCTCATGTCTTAGTATTTCCTCATAGACACATAAAATCTCCAGCTTTCTGACTATGTTCTGGAAAGTCGCATGTACTTGCCTCCCAGCTGCAAAGTAAAATGCTCCTTTGCCACACCAGTTCAAATTTTGATGATGAAATTGCTAATCCAAATAACTCTCGTTGTTGTTTAAAATCTTCTCGAGAAGTTTGCCTTGTTGTAGAGGGATTGCTACTCAGGTTACTGTCACTTGTAGTGCTGATGTACATGTGGTTATCTGTGTGGTTTTTGCATTCATGTGTGTTGTTTCTCTCTTGTTTCCTACAACCAGAACTCAGGAGAGAAAGTCAGTAAGGTCAGCTTGGTAGACCTGGCGGGTAGTGAAAGAGTGTCTAAGACAGGAGCTGCTGGAGAGCGACTGAAAGAAGGCAGCAACATTAACAAGTAAGGTGGCTGGTGCAATTCCAGAGTTACACTGGAGCCTGCATTCTTGTGTGTGTGGGGGGACTTGTCGCGTTATAAGGGTCAGATGGTTCTGATCACAGATGTTCAGAGTCTGCATAGCTTTAGTCAACTGGGTTGAAGAAAAACAACAGCCTGCCCCTACTGAGATGCATGAGGTTTATTTAAGTAAAGCTACGTGGTGCAGCCCTGCTCAAACATTGTACAAACACTTCATGCACCATAGCATATAGTGTGGTAGGTGAGTACAAATCACACGTTTGTAAATCAAATCATATCTTAAATTAACTGGAGGAGCTTACTCGGAAAAGAAAATCTGCTTTGAATCCTTTTGTAAGGCTAATACTGTTTAAGCATCAATACATCAAATAAATTGAACAGTTATTGAATAGGTGCCATACTGAAATCTCACTCGGCCTTGAGTGCCTATAGTGTGCCCAGTGATGCAGTGAAGGCTGAAAGAGAGCAGAGTGGTGCAGGATGTGTAGGAGTTTGCCAGGTAGGCAAAGGAGATGGAGGCATTTCACGTGGAGAGTGTAGCAAAGGCCCAGACAAATGAGCTTCTTGTTCTTTGCAGAAATGTGGTATCCCCAGGAGTGCTTGATATGGAAAAGCAAGTCTCTCCACTTTCCAGCATGAGCAGGAGCAGGGTTTGCATTTAAGAGTGTGCACTCAAGCCAGAGGGCTCAGACTTACTCCTGCCTCCACCACTTACTAGCTGTACATGTGTCATGGACATGAGATTTCACCTCTCTGTGCTTCATTTTTCTCATCTGTAAAATGAGGATAATAATATTACCTACTTCATAGAACTATTTGGGATTAAATGCTCATAATGTGCTTAGAACAATGCCTGGCACGTAGTATGGACTGAATAAATATTAATGGTTGTAGCTATTATTTTTATAATCTGTGTAAACAGCATAATTGTCATTATTCCAAATTCAGCAGAAAGTAGTTTAGTTTGTACTTGTAATATTTTCCTGTTGAGACATAATAACTTGGGATTCTGTTTAGGACAGAAGATGACAAGAGGTAATATCTTCAGGAACACGGTGCAGCTTGCATTTTAAAATGATATTAGCACATTATAATTTTAATATACAAAAGTTTAAAATTAGAAGTAAAATATTGTCCCCTCTATCAGATGGCCACAGCCTCACTCACTGCACAGGCCACTGCTCTAAGGAGTTAATCTTCCAGGCATCCTGTCTCCCGCTCTCACAACAAAGGATTTTGCTATAATTCACGACAAAGCATTGTAGGAGCCCAGGCTGGCACTACAGCTTTCCTGCCTTCCGAAATGCACTCAAGAACCAGGGTGAGGGAGCAGAAATTGGGAATATGAGGGAGCAGGTACCAAAGAAAAGATTCTCACCCCTCCTGCAGATTTGTTTACTGGTGCTAAACCGTGCCAGCCCATGGCCCACTGGCTGGGCTTATGGGAAATGCTGGAAATTCTGTGCTGTGAATTTGTGGGAATTTAGAGAGTGGCTGGCCTTGATGTGTAAGGACCCCTAACTTTTATTGACCTCTTGCTATGTGCCAGGCGCTATTCTGAAAGCTCTGTATGTAGTAAGTCACCTGATCCTCACATCGGCACTGTAAGATGGGTCTATTATCCCCATTTGACAGGTGAGGAAACCAAAGCAGAGAGTGGTTAAATAATGTGTCTAAGATCACAGAGCTCTAAGACGGTGCCAGAGGTCTGCACAACTGTCTTAGAGACCTTCATAGAGATAAGAGGCCCACGACCCCTTACCTGGGATTCCAAAATCCAAACGCTCTGTAAACCAAGTGCTTTCTTCTCAAGATTGGCTCCTGGGCTAACAAGTGTTGCCAATCTTTTTTTTTCCTGCTTTATCTCCCCAAGTCCCCCCTGTACATAGTTGTATATCTTAGTTGCAAGTCCTTCTAGTTGTGGGATGTGGGACGCTGCCTCAACATGGCCTGACGAGCAGTGCCATGTCCGCGCCCAGGATCTGAACCCCGGGCCGCCGCAGCGGAGCGCGCAAACTTAACCACTCGGCCACGGAGCCGGCCCCCCAAGTGCTTTATTCTTTTTCTTCACAGCTCACTTGTTGGTAAACCCTCCCTTGAACTCTCATGAGGCTATCTCTAGTCTTTACCTACATTTATAGTCTTTACTTTCTCATTTAGTGTGACCTTTTATAAGTTTAACTGTAGAAATGTTTATATATATTACTGTGGGGTGCTGTCCCAGAGTCCACTGGAGGTCATGAGTAGTGTATGCACTGAACTTCCTAAAATCCAAAATATTCTGAATTTCGAGACACATGTGGTACCAAGGATTTCAGATAAGAGAGATGGACCTGCGTTTTTTTTGATCCACTTAGAAAATATGTTGTTGAACGCTGACTAGGCAGAAGACCAGAGGGATGAGTAAGATGAGACCCTAGCCTTGGGAAGTTCAAGGTGCAGTGGGGAAGGAAGACCTTTGGAGGCGTGGCATGAATACATTGTGACATAGAAGCTTATACACAGGGTGCGGTGGGAACACAGTGACGGCACAGCTGGGAGCTTCAAGGGAGGGCTTCCTAGAGGAGATACTGGAGTTTCTTAGTTACAGAAACTACCTGCATGAACTTTCTGTGCCTCAGTTTCCTCAGCTGTAAAATGTGGATGAGGAAACAACCCTATGGGTAGGGCTGTTATGGGGATTAAATTAGTTACTGTTTGTAAAGTGCTTAGAACAGTGCCTAGCACATAGGAAGCTCTATGTAAGTGTGAACTAACAAGGTAAAATAAACAGTAAGTTGACACTGCTGCCTGATAGTTCCACAAATGGCTTTTTAAGCCTTAAAATCAGTGCCCAGTTGAGTGCTAAAATTAAAGAAATCTCTGACATGTTTCATAAGCTTCCTCTTGGCCTCCTATTTGGGCTTCCTTTGATGGAACATTAATAATCCTCTTAAGCAGACCTGTCAGGGACTTCACATAGACATTAGTGCCTGCTTAATGGGCTGCGGATTTAGGGGCTTCATCTCTCCTTAAGCTCTTAAGAGCTTTAAAGCACACATTATTCCTCCATTTGGAGAGCTAAGGCACTGTGTGGCTGCACCGCCATGGCCTGGTCAGGGCTTGGAGGTAGAGGTCGTCTGTAGACCGTCTTCACGGGGAAACACCTCTGCAAAGTCAGTCTGCCGCTCCACCTGTCTACTGAGAGTGGGATGAGGAAGCCCTTCTCTGCTGCTGGAGGCTGGCTGGTTCAGCTTCTGTGAGAACTCAGATCAGGGAACACTCTCTTACCCCTAGGAATGTCATTGAAAGCAGTTCCATTTTATTCTCAGCAGTGGCCAATCGTTAAATGCGAACAGTGTTCATCTAACGAGTATCATTCGCAGTCTCATTTCCATTTCAATTACCGTGGTTAATAATAAAGTATATACTAAACATTTCTAATTGAAATAAGTGGGTGCTACTGAACACTTGTTCTAGGGACTTAATGTATGTTACTCCTGGGATTCTGTCGTGTAATTTAGGTTATAATAACTTATAAGCTTAATGTTTCTAATGTTTCATGTGACTCAATCCTCCCTTTTTTTCTCCTTAAGTGCTTTCCGTGACTCTTGTTCATTTCCTCTCAGAAACCTCACTTAAATATGGGTACTGCCTGAATAACCAAACATGCACTTTTACCTAGGCAGAATAAAAATGGCCTGCTTCTGTCCATTATTCAAGGGCGGGCAGGGGTCCTTGTTAATTTACCACTTGTACATTGCAGGGTCCACATGTGTGGAAAAAACCCTGAATAAACGTCTTTGCATCTAACATGAGAGACCCACGGAGGACAGGGCAAAAATCTGTTCCTTTTGATGCAGTAGCTATATCTTTGGGGGCATGTGACATTGTTTACCTCCGTGTTTCCCAAAGCATTTTTGTGAAATACTAGTTCCTCAAGTGGCTCTGGGAAGAAAGGCATCCCTGACAAATAATTTTGAGAAACCCTACTTATAAACCTTCCTTTGGCAGGTCACAGTGCTCAAAGCTCTGAGAAGTCCTGCAGTAATGAATCCCATGTAACTTTATCATTCCCTGAACTTATTTGATGACAGAATTCTAGTTATAACATATGTTTAATCTCCAGAACAAATGTTCAGAAGAACCTATTTTGGGAAATGTTAGTATATACTTTTTTATTACAACACAGCCACTGAAATGGAAACGAGACTGGGGATGATACTCGTTAGGTGAACATTATTTGAGTTTAATGATTTGCATCAGCCACTGGAAGACGGGTGGTGAATGGAAATGAGGCCTGTACTGTAGGCTGAACAGGTTTTTTCCTCTCCTGTCATGTGATGGTACTGCCCTTTCCTCATATTTTGCCTCATATATTCTTTGCATTTCTCCTTTACTGTTAAGAGTGAGGACTTACTGGGGAAGCATACTAAATTCAGGTCCGCTAGCTTCATCATCTCTCAACTGATTCTTTAAAAGCCAAGGGTTGCATTCTGCTGTAAGCAACAGAAACCAGCTACAGTGACAACCAAATGATGTGTTTATTGTCCCCACTCAAGAAGTCCAGAGACTGGTACAGCATCTCAGAAAAGCTGTCAGGCACAGAGCCCTACTAACCTTAGTGTGTGTGTGTGTTGTCCCCATGTCCTCAAGATGGCTCTACCATTCCAGGCATTGTGTCCATATCTGTGTTCCAAACAAGAAGGGGAAAGGAGGAAAGCAAAGGACCACTGGCTTCTGTCAGCTGAATATGTACCTTTTCTGTCAGGAGGACAATAGCTTTCTTGGAAGCCCCTCCCCGTCCTGTCTCCCTACATCTCATCTCTGTGTTTCATGACTTCCCTGAGCTGCAGAGGACTCTGGGAAATGGAGTTTTTAGCCGGACACGTGCTTCCTACTAAAACCAGGGTTCTGTTAGCAAATAAGAAGAGGAAAATAGATATTGGGCCAGCATCCACAGAGTGGACTAAAACCATTATTGAATTAGTCCTTTTTAGAAAGAGGTCTGTGTTCTGTTCTTCAGTGTATTCTAGACTCAGTCTCACTCGGCAGATACTTACTGAGTGCTTTCTGCAGTCCAGGCACAGTAATTGCATGGAAGAATGTGTATAGCCTACAATGGTCACTGCCCTCAAGGTGATCACAATATAAAAAGAGGTAGACAAATACATATACAGCTTAATAAAGTTTAATAAGTACTAACGATCTTAGAAAAACATCATTGGAAAATTAGGAAAAATAATATATTTGAAATCCATCCTAGAGAGTACAAATCACTCCCATCACATCATATCCACTCCTAAGGGAAGGAATCTGGTGGTTAGGGTTTCAAGGGAAGCTGTGTAGTTTGGAGGAAGGTGCAGAAAAGCAAAAAAAAAAAAAAAAAAGTTGAATTATGCCTATCTTCTTCTCATTGATTGTGTTTATTGGAGCAGCTTTTATTTTGTTTTTCATCCTCCCAAGTTTTCTTTCTTTTTGATCCAAATTCTCCATTGTTATAAATAGGTTGATTTTTGAAAATTTCAATCTTAAAGCATGGCTACCTGTTTATAAATGTTATCCCCTAGCCTAACTTCCTTCCTCTCCAGTCAAGCCCTCCCATCCTTCTCCCCACCCCAGCCCAAGAGCTTGTGGTAGGAGCTTCCTCACCATCTCTACCTCCAGTAGGTTCGAGGAAGGAGTAGCACTTTGGTAGAATTAGAAAGATTCCTGGAATAACTTTTTCAGCCTCTAAAATTGGCCAAAAAAACCTCCCCAAAACCCCTCCCACCCTGTTCTGGATGCCTGTGAGCTGCCCATTTGCCTCCAGCATGAGAAGACAGTGCCAGCAGGATCCATAATTAGTGATTTTATGATATTGTTAAGCTCCCTGGGCATAAAATTCTCATTGACATTTGTAATCCTATTATTGTTCAACTTTCACACGTTGAACTTTCAGACAGTTTTTAGGAATCTAGAAGCCCCTGGATCATTGCTTCTGAGTGGAACCTAGAAGGGAGGGATGGCATGGAGTCCTTCTGGGTGACCTGGTTATGTCTCACTTATCATGGAGTCCCAGTCACCCTGCAATTCGTTCCTTTTTGTTCCAAGGGGACCCTAACAGGTTTAGATAAGTTCTTGTTTTGAATGTGTGCGCATTAAGTAAAAGGGTGTGGCTGCTGCTAATGATAAGCTTCTCTAACTGAATAAGTTATAGGGCAAAGTACACACAGAAACTGGAGTCGTATAACCATTTCCGTCCAGCTCCACCCCTCTGCTGAGTCTGACACGTGCTGTACTGGGCTCGCAGAGTGCACATCCAACAGTGAACAGTCACAGCACTCTGTCACCTTTTTCCATTTTCTCTCAAAGCACTAATTTGATTTTATGTGTCATTGTTTAAGAGGACCAGAAACTTACCCTTTTTACCCCTTGCACTGTCAAATTAGAAAATATAAGTAGTTGCCATAAGACAGGGTAAAATCTTGTCTCAGTGAAAAATCCATGACAACCCCAAAACATGTTTTCATATGAAGGACCCCTGTTAACTTTATAGTTGCTAATATTGACTTTTGAGTCACTGAGCTCTTTATAGTTTCTGTGAATTTCTGCTTCATTTGGGTAACAAAAATCTAGGATCGTTTAAAGAATTGTTTCCAATTGAAATTTTTTTTTTTTAAAGATGGGCACCTGAGCTAACAACTGTTGCCAATCTTTTTTTTTTTCTCTCCAAAGCCCTCTAATATATAGTTATATATTCTAGTTGCGAGTGCCTCTGGTTGTGCCATGTGGGACACCCCTCAGCATGGTCTGACGAGCAGTGCTGTGTCCACGCCCAGAATCCAAACCAGCAAAACCCGGGCCACCAAAGTGGAGTGTGCGAACTTGACCACTCGGCCACAGGGCTGGCCCCTGAAAATTTTATTTCAATAGTTGCAAAATGTGAAAAATGCCCTATATTTTATATTAAAGCAGAAATGTGTTTGTGCCTTATATCAAACTCCTACTTTCCTCTATTTCTTACGTATCGCATGCAATTTTCTTTCTTAAAATTGTTACCTTTGGGAGGAGTGACTGGAACTTGCTGAATTTTTTTTAAACAGCTGTATTGAGAAATAATTCACATGCTATGTAGTTTACCATTTTAAAGTGTATAATTCAGTAGCTTTATTATATTCAAAGTTGTGCAACCATCACCACAATCTAATTTTAAAACGTTTTTTCATCACCCCCCAAAAGAAACCATGTGTCCAAGTCATTTCCCATTTACCCTACCCTCTGCCCTAGGCAACCACTACCTCTGTCTCTATATATAGATTTGCCTATTCTGGATATTTCATATAAATGAAATCAAATAATCTGTGCTATATTATTTTCCTAGTGTTTTGGTGGCAGATTACCACAAACTGGGTTGCTTGAAAGAACAGAAATTTATTTTCTTACAGTTCTGGAGGTCAGAAGTCCAGAATCAAGGAATCATTGGGGTTTATTCTTTCTTTAGGACTCAAGGGAAAATGTATTCCATGCATCTCTCCTAGCTGTTGGTGGTTGCTGGCATTCCTTGGCTTGTAGATGCATCACTCCAGTCTCTGTCTCCATCTTCACATGGTGTTCTCCCTGTGTGTCTTCACGTGGCCTTCTTACAAGGACACGAGTCACTGGTTAGAGCCCTCCCTAAGCCAATATGATCTCATCTTAACTAGTTACATCTGCAGGGATCCTATTTCCAAATAAGGTCACATTCTGAGGTTCTAGTGAGCATGAATTTTGGGGGACACTATTCAGCCCTGGACAGTGGCCTTTCATGTTTGGCTTCTTTCACTTAGCACAGTTTTTCAAGGTTCATCCATGTTATAGCATGCATTAGAACTTCATTACTCTTTTTGGCCAACTAATATTCTACAGTGGGGGTGTACCACATTTTATTCATTCCCTCCATCATTTGATGGACATTTGGGTTGATTCTACATTTCAGTTATTGTGAATATGCTGCTATGAAAATTCTTGTACAGGTTTTTGTGTGGACATATGTTTTCATTTCTCTTGGATTTGTTTAACTTTTAAATCTGTCAATTACAATACATATTTATGTCACTTTGTAGTAATGGCTGTTTTGAAAATTCTCATTCATTTTCTGCCTCTTCAATTTGCTTTGTATTTCAATAACTTTTCAGTGACTCATTGTTGGGGAATTTTGTTTTGTGGGAAATATGCTTTCTTTCCTTTCAACTCATTTAATGGAAATCTGCTAACATTAGAAAGCTATCTAGTCTTGCGCTTGCTAACCTCTGGTTCCTTGCTGATTTATGCCCTTCCTTGTTTTCATATATTAAGTAGTAACATTTGATTTTTTAAAACTATTTAGAAAGCATGTTCTCTTTGTGGTATCATGTAACTTTCTTTGCAATCCTGTGAGATCTCTTGAGGCTGCTCTTTTCTGGCTGCTAAAATTGGGATCCAGTTGATTTCCTTTTAGAAGACCAATTAGGGCTTAACTGACACAAGAGGATGTGCTTCATCCCTCAATACCACAAATCTGTTGTTTCTACGGCGCTCTTTTTGCCAGGTGCAGAGAACATCTATTAACCACCAGGGAAGGCTCATTAGCGTAGGCCAGTGCTTCTCAAACTCTGGCCTGCGTCAGAATCACCTGGATGGCTTGTTAAATCACAGATTGCTGGGTCCCACTGTAAGTGTCTAATTAAGTAAGTCTGAGGTGGGGCCTGAGAATGTGCATTTCTAACAAGGTCCCAAGTGATGCTGATGCTGCTGGTCCCAGCACCCCATTTTGAGAATCATGGGTCTAGACAACTAAAAGTGTTTACCATTTTGGATATCGTTCAACCAGGGCGTCTCAAAATTTAGTATGCCCGTGTATCACCTGGAGGTACCTTTAACTGGCTCTGATTCAGTAGGCCTGGGGAGGCTTCCAAGATTGTAGGTTTCTAACCAGCGCTCAGATGATTTCAGTGCTGCTTCGTGTAGCAGGGGTTGAAACAGTGGCCATATGCCGTCCTCTGCTTGGGTAGTTCTTTGTTTTTGTACAACTGTAATAACTCTACATTGAAATAAACTTGCCAGCTTTAAGCTGATGAACAGGATGTACCTTGTAATGTGTAATGGAAGAGGGGTCTCCAAGTTACTTGGTTATTCTGGGAAACAAAGTCAGAGGCTGAATGGTCCACATTAGACCCAAAGAGTAAATAAATGGTTCAGACTTTTAACATAATATTTGGAGTAAATTAAAATTCTCCAGTGTAATCTTTTAAATGTAGGTTTCTAGGTTCTGAAATATATGTTTCACGGGTGCTGTGATTGAAGAGAACAGATTCTTATAGGGATGCTAAATTCTTTTAAATTAATGGAGTTTTTGTTTTTCTTTCTCTCAGCTTCTTGACAAAGTAATGTAGTCTTGATTATATCAACTGTAGAGCCTTATTCTACATATTTTATACTTATTACCTAGAAGGATTATTATTTTATGAAAACAAAATATTCCATAAAGCTGATTTTTAAATTTTTCCCTTGGCAGATCACTTACCACCTTGGGATTAGTTATCTCATCACTGGCTGACCAGGCAGCTGGCAAGGGCAAAAACAAATTTGTGCCTTATCGAGATTCAGTCCTCACTTGGCTTCTTAAGGTAATTCATTGTTCTGCTGTTTCCAGCTAAAGATTGGCTGTTTCAGAGGTGACACCTGAAAGGCACGTGCAAAGCTAACTGAATATACAGCAAACTCTTAACCATACTGTTATTCTAATTCCTGGGAATACAAAATGAAAACTGGTTTCTATTCTCTTTTTTCCCATTAAGATGCTGTTCGACAGGTATTATTCATTGTTGTGAATATAGAGAGACCACATTTCATCTTGTCATGGAATTATTTGCGAAATACAAACCCACCTCCACATCACATTTTCTTCACAGAGAATATCATACCTACACTGCTTTCTTCATATGTGTTGCGTGCAGAATGAGCCTCGTTTCCTAAGATGCTATTTGAAATATTTTGCAGGACAATTTGGGGGGCAACAGCCAGACCTCCATGATAGCCACCATTAGCCCAGCAGCAGACAACTATGAAGAGACCCTCTCCACATTACGATATGCCGATCGAGCCAAAAGGATCGTTAACCATGCCATCGTGAATGAGGATCCCAATGCAAAAGTCATCCGAGAACTGCGGGAGGAAGTAGAGAAACTGCGAGAGCAGCTCTCGCAGGCTGAGGTAAAATCAGCCTGGTGCTCCCTGTTTTGGAAGTTCCCTTGTGGTCTCTGAGTGGTGAGGACGTGCTTGCTTGCAGTCCTCGGTCTTCTAGGTGTGGTTGAACATTTCTGTGTTGATTGGCATCTGCCAAGCTTTGTGCAGACAACATGAGTAATGCAAGACTTCTGTCCTAGGAACTTAAGATGAGGAAGCAGACAATTAAGAGAGAATTGCTGCTACTGCCTAATGGTTTGCTTCAGTAAATCAATTGGTCCTTGAGCACAGATCTCTTCCAGTGTGAAATCCTAAGAATGAAGTGTCTTGTTTTTATTAACGTTGCAGACTATATTCCCAAAGAGCCTTGCAGTTTTCAGGTTAATTAGTTGTGTGTCGCCTCCTCTTTACGTCGTGGAAGATGGCATGATCAAGGATATTTAAACATTAGCAATAATTCAGAATTCTCTTTTTATTTTTTCATATATATCAGACCCTGGCAGGAAATAAAATCAGGAATTTTGCATTGTTACCATCTTTCTTTGGCTTTACTCAGACTTTAGTAATCACACCCTTTTCCAAGTAGCTGTTGCTTTATGCAGGTTACTGGGTGGGGCACTGTCTCACTGGACATACATAATGGGACTGAGATGAAGGTTAAGTGCCTTAGATTAAGTCAAGTGCTTCCACATGCCAGGACTTGGGTGTACTGAAGGCTAAGTTCACATTCCTTCATACCACTCTCTTCTGACCCCGCTTTTGTTGGGAGAATATTAAGTGTGGGGGTGGGGGGGTGGAAATGGTAATAGTCATTATCTGTTGAGCACTGGTGGTGTACCAGGCACTGTTTAAATACTTTTTATCTATCAGCTTATCTCATCAAAAAGTAATAAGTAATCAACAGGAGATTAGAACAGACAAAACGGAGTCGGAGTCAAAGGCGGAGATCTGAATACTCCACTGATGATCATGGCAGTTGCGTTACAACTGTTTACATGTCTTTCTCTTCTTCTGGGCTGTGGTATCCTTTAGTTCAGGAAGCTGTGTTTTATTAATTTTTTTCATCCCTAACCCCTAGTACAACATTGATCCTGGAAAGCACTTAGCACAATGCCTTGCACATCATAAGTGGTCAGTAAATGTTGCTATTTTTGTTATCATCATTATAATCATTATTCAGTGCATCAAGCATAGTTTTTTTATTGATGCCAAGAAGGGCAGCAAAACACCTGAAAAATAAAATGCTAATAAACTTTGAAGAGAGTCATGATCCTAGAAGGAAAGTCTTAACAGTTCTGGAATATGTTTATAGGTGATGATTTCTTTCTTTCCTCATCTCTGAATCTGCGTTTCCACTGTGAACATATAATCTAGGCAGATGGCCAAAGGAAAGAGAAGAAGGGCCACGGCAGGTTCATCTAGAATTTCCGTGTGTGTCTCCTGTACCCAGCACTGTCACTCTCAGGCTCTGTGAACACTGTGAGACTCAGGCATACTCAGCTAACTTCCAGATCATCACCCCTCCAGCTTCTTATCCAAACTCTACCATCTTTCTTTTTTTTTTAAGGCATGCTTTTTTTTTTTTTTTTTTTTTTTTGGTGAGGAAGATTGGCCCTGAGCTAATATCTGTTGCCAATCTTCCTCCTTTTTTTTTTTTCCCTCTCCTTCCCAAAGCCCAAGTACATAGTTGTATATCCTAGTTGTAAGTCCCTCTAGTTCTTCTATGTGGGATGCCACCACAACATGGCTTGATGAGCAGTGTGTGTGTAGTGAACCCTGGGCCACTGAAGCAGAGCACGTGAACTTCACCACCACGCCACCAGGCCAGCCCCTCTACCATCTTTCTTGTTCATAAGGTTATACTCTGTAGAGGCTCATGTTACTATAGGATATCAAGCATATCATTGCCAAGTAAAGGCCTCCCCAGATTTTTTAAGCTACATATATCTGAATTTAGACCCTTCAGTTATCCTCACTGAGCACACTCAGAGGGAAATTACTGCTCTTTTAACCAGCTATCCTGCTTCCAAGAGATAAATAAGCTAAGTTTATTACCATAAAAAGGAAAGTAGTTTAAAGGACCCAGATTCAAATTTTAAAATAAATGAGAAGAATCTTCAACTTTTCTGGTAGGTTAATATAACTGGAATGTGTTTCTTGGTAATGTGCGTTGGTCTCTGTCAATAAGATCTTATTTTTCGATAAGAAAAAGAAATCTGCTTAAGTAACCTTTTTTCCTGCTTTTCTATTTTGAGGATGAACTTTAGCATCTTTTAGGTCTTTAAATGTGAAATTTAAGTATGATGGATAAAATTACTCTGTAATGATTTGTATCAACTTAATTCAGGGCACTAGTATTTCTTTTTCTCCTTTAAATAGTAGCCATCATTTATTCTTATATTTCATTTGAGTAATAAAGGTCTAAAACCCATCCTGACAGTGTGCAACTTAATTGCTTCCAATAGACTGTTGATAACTGCTTAAGAAGGACAGTAAGTGATTGTCTTGTTTACAGTGGTGAAAAAAATTAGAAAATCAGATAGCTCTGGTTTCATTTTGAAGGCTATGAAGGCCCCTGAACTGAAAGAGAAGCTGGAAGAGTCTGAAAAGCTGATAAAAGAACTAACAGTGACTTGGGAAGAGAAGCTGAGGAAAACAGAAGAAATTGCACAGGTAGCTTGATAATTTAGGCCTAAAATGTTGTGATTCTTTTTCATTTGCTGTCTTTTTTGTATAGTCATTTGTCATCCTCAAAAAGTATTTTGGGAACCTCTTTCTGCTCAACTAGCGACTGCAAAGATCAGTTTTAGACACTAACTTAGTGTCCTTTGACAACTAGAATTTGGTCTATATATTTGCTAAGTGTTGGAGAGCATTGAATTTGAACAGGCATGGTACAGGAAGTATCTTTAATATTTCCTGCTTTTCATATTTGAATAAAAATCTGTTTTGTGATTTTAGATCATCTGGCAAAGCATGTGGCTACCTGATTGGCAGAGAATTTGTAACATACACACAGCAGCACATCATAGGTTTTTCCATGTATTTGATACTTTGGGCTTGTTAGAAAATGCTGTATGAACTTTACATAAGATAAAATATAAATCAAGGGCTAATTCTGCATGTATTTGTGAGTGTGTGTGTGAATTATGAATCTCTACACTACAAATTTCATTAACATTTTAATCCCGTTGACCACTTATAAATATTGGACCATCCCAATCAAGTAGTTTGAAAGCAATGACTGGGACCTAGTTTTGCCTTCTGCTTATATGTTTCTTGTAGATATCTTTCACACACATGCACGCGCATGCGCATCCCCTGTAACTTCCTATCCCTCTTAGATTGCTTCATGTTTCTTCCTAGCACTTAGCATCATTGGAAATTCTATATTTTACTTGTCTGTTTTTATGTTGGTCTGTCTTTCCCCAACAGAATATAAGTTTTCATGAAAGAAGGAACTTTGTTTTGTTTGCTGTTGTATTCCCAGCCCTAGATCAGTACCTAATAGATGAATATTTCTTGAATAAATGAATGAATTCAAGGCCCTCTGCAACAGGGACCCAACCTGCTCTTCCAGCCCCATCTCTCACTTCTTTCCCACATTTACTAGGAGTTTTTGGCACCTGAAATCATCCAGTATGCCCACAGTCTCTACTGTGCTTTCCTATGCCCTTCCCCTAGAACGCCCTGCCTTGATCTTGCAACTCCCCCATTTCTTCCTGTTGAAATTCTCCTTATGCTTGAAGAATCATCTCAAATGTATTCTTTTCCTGAAGTCTGTCCTGGTCCCTTAACCCATCATGCTCTCCCTCCTTTGAAGCCCCGCAGCATGTTGTTCCTCTCCCGTGCCACAGTTAGGTGGTCTTACCCCCTCTACTAGACTGTTAGCCCCTAAAGGCAAGATGCGTCTGGTTAACCCTGGTGCCCCTGTAACACTGACACCCGATGTCACAGATTTTAGACTCTCAGTAAACTTGGTTGAGCTGAGTAGAATGTGTCATTTCATTGGCATTGTCCCCAGAAATAGTGACTTAAACTTTCCATGGATACATTTTATGAATAGAACAACAAATAGAGTTCCCTGCTTTTGTGTTTGGGTGCACAGGAGAGGCAACGGCAACTTGAAAGTATGGGCATTTCCCTGGAGACATCTGGTATCAAGGTGGGAGATGACAAGTGCTACTTAGTCAACCTGAATGCAGACCCTGCTCTCAACGAACTTCTAGTTTATTATTTAAAGGTAAGAGAGTATATAAATAGATAGTGCAATCCTGATTCATTCATGGACTACTCCCAAGTGAATCTGGGTACCTGTCTCCATGATTTTGCTTTTTGTATCCAGCTTAGCCCTCATGGGCAGTAAGAGTATTGATAGTACAGTCTGGTTACCATCGAGAGTGAAAACTAGCTATTTTGTGTTATCCTAGGGCTGTGCAGTTGGGGCAGACTTCCTGTGAGTGGAGGCATCTGTGGGGCACGAGGAGGCAACTGAGGGTGTCCGTGTGATCCCTGGCTATGCGACCAGGATTCTGAGAATCTCTGGATTCAGCCACAAAGAGCCTGAGAAGCTCTGGAGAGTCCCTCTCATGCTTCTGAGTAATTTTAAGGAGATCTCAAGATCAGCACAAGCCTAAAGCAGACCCTAGTGGTAGATTAGACAGCTTGGGTTCTCCCATGTCCATCCCTTCTAAACCTTCATCCTCAGGAAATAACTTTTGGTCCTATAATCACCCTTCAAGTGTGGAGATGGGATGTGGCCTTTTGGATTTGGCTCTTTGGCCTCAGTGTACGCCACTGACCACGTTGGATAGCTTATTGCAGTGGTTCTTAAACTTTCTAGCCTCAGGGTCTATTTACATTGCTTAAATAAGTATCAAGGACTCCAAAGAACTTTTGTGTATCTGGGTTATATCTGTCTATATTTACTGTATTAGATCATAAAACTGAGAACATTTAAACATACACTTGAGGCTGGCCCAGTGGCATAGTGGTGGGTGTGCTCCAATTCAGCAGCCCTGGGTTTGCAGGTTCAGATCCTGGGAGTGGACCTACACACTGCTCATCAAGCCATGCTGTGGTAGCGTCCCATGTACAAAGTAGAGGAAGATTGGCACAGACGTTAGCTCAGAAACAATCTTCCCCACCAAAAGAAACACAAAAAGACAATCTTGTTTAAGCATACTGTCCATTAAATCTTCAGAGCAACAACTTCATCACACATCCTGTAGCCTGTGGAAAACCCCGCTGTACACTTGTGGTAAAATGAGAGAGCAAAGGCAAATAACACCCTAGTATTTTTATTAAAGTCGTTTTGACCTCATGAGCTTCTCGAAAGTTTCTCAGAGACCCCAGTGGTTCTCAGACCACATTTTTAGAAATCCTGGCTTATTTTATTGTGAGAAGTAAGACTTCTCTTTGAAATAGAACACCTGACTGACATTGATGTGGGGCACCCCAGCTGACGTAGGGCACTCAGCTGACCATCAGGGCATTTTTAATCATACACACACAATTTCTGAGTTATGGTAGTGTATAAATACATGTCATAGTAGTTAAATAACTGTCCTGGATTGGGGACCTGGGGACTTGAAGCCAGCTTATATCCACTGTCCATACACCTAAATTTCTAAATGCAAAGGTATTACCCAGTTGTGAAAGGTTAGATAGGCTCCTTGTTAAGGATTCTGATCTGCCTAGCGAATATACAAAATGCAATGGAGAGTAAGCTAGAAGTGAAGCAAGGAGGCTCAGTCTTCTGTCCTCTTTATTCACTTTTCCCAGAGATATAAATATGGCACCGTAGCCCCTGACTTGTTGAGAGTCCGCTCACAGACTTAAGATCTGTTCATTTAGGAAATGATTAAGGGGTAAGGAATCATTTCTGAAATCTTAATTTTGAAAGACCAAGCCTTACACTGTCTCTGTTGAATAGGGAAGTATTATTATCACAGTGATTAAATGATTTTTAGTGTAATAGGGAAAACAAAGGGGACTCACGGTAGACTGAGTCACAGTCCTCATACGTCTGGGGTTTGAGGTCCTTAAAATCACACTCATCTGTACATCACATGACCCAGAGGCTTCAGTACACTATGTAATATTGGCATTAGAAACTCACTATTTTTAGCATTTTAGAAGTTATATGTTTGAAAATATGACTTTGCATGAAACTGCTTTTAGTGGTTCTTGAATTTATATAGCTGTTTTCAAAGCACTTTCACTGTCAAGTGATCCTGAAAAGGATCCTGTTGAGGAGATCAAATAGATCATCTTGTCCTGGTTTTGCAGAGAAAGAAACTGAGACTCAGAGTGAAATGGCTTACCTGTGGTCACATAAATATTAAGTGATCGAGTCAGAATGGGAGCTCAAGGCATTCTGTCAGGTCCAGCTTGCTTGTATGTTAAAACAGTATCTAATAACTGTTGATCGGAGTTTTGTGGGGTTTTTTTGTAATGTTTAAACATTTCTTAAAATTTAGTGTGTTATGGTGAGCTTTGACTTACAATACTCCAAATATCTCACATCTCCTATCTGATTCACTTAATATTGTCGTGCGTATGTTGTTGGATTATTCTTTGATTGTGATAAATTTTTATGAGTTACTTGTAAGTGTGGGTTTTTTCTTTCTTTAATAAACTGTTTCTAGGACCATACCAGGGTGGGTGCAGATACCTCCCAGGACATCCAGCTCTTCGGAATAGGAATTCAGCCTGAGCACTGTGAGATTGACATTGCATCCGATGGAGATGTCACTCTTACTCCGAAAGAAAATGCAAGGTAAGAAGAGCAAACGGCTCCTTAGCATTCCTTGTGTGCCTGATTTTCAGAAGGAGAAGACTGCCGCTTTCGGTCTGCTTGCTTCAGTTATAGCAAAATTAAGGCTACGCTGGGTCCCGGGGGATCTACTTCCCGATTGTAGAGAGCAGGAGAGCAGCATTTAGGAGCACCAGCTTTGGGGTAGGCTGATTCTACCTTGACTGGCAGGGTGATTTTGGATAAGATACTTTTTTTTTTATCTAAACTTCAGTTTTCTCACATAGTAAGTGGGGCTAACAGTAAACAAAACTTACAAATCACTCAGCTCAGTCCCTGACACATAAATATTAAGTACAGTTAGTTGTTGTTACTCAGTGTACTGTATTGTGTAAAACCCAGTTAATCAGATAATTCCACTCTACGAAAAGTTCCTAAACAAGGCTATAATATGTAAAAATTTGAGAATTGACAGGATAATATATTTGCTTTTTAACTTCTGTTAAAAATCTCTTAAAGTATTTAATAATCAGGTATAAAGTTTAAATGAAGTCCTATAACAATATTCATCAACACACAAACATTGTCATTCAGAACACTCATTTTTATGAAGAAAACTTTACATTCATTTCAAATTCTGTTAATATCTGCCTTATAAATTTCTAAGTCATGAAAAACTTAGAATAACAGTAATAGCATGCATGATTCATGAAAGTTTGTAGGTCTTGTGTTATAGTGATATAATTGTTAAGATATTTAATGGTGAAATGATACTGTTCCCTGATTTTTTCTTATTCCAGTTTCAAATAATCTTTAGCCTTATTCTGTATCCCCCTATGTTAGAAGCTCTGGATTTTTTTTTTTCATACTCTTTCTTTTTTTCCCAGCTTTACTGAGATATAATTGACAAAATTATATATATTTCAAGTGTACAAATGATTTGATTATATTCTCTTCTAGCACTATATCTAAAAATGATTTTAATCAGCAAATTTCCTCATACCCAATTCCAATTCCATGGGGTTTTTTTAATTCTACTCTTCTTCCTTCCCCTCCCTGCCCGATCTCTTCCTTTCCTGGAAGAGGTGGTCCATTCCAGGTCCATTTCCAGGGTGGTGGTCCATTCATCCAGTGTAATTTGCTCCAGGCTCTGTTCTGGAAATGCCCAAATATAGGAACGCAAAGCCTTTTGGAAGAGAACGTATAAAAACAACAATTATTATACAGGAAGACAAGTGCTCCTTCTAAAGTGATCTTTATAACCTGCAAATCTGATCTCTATGGAGCGTGGGGATAGAGGTTACAAGACTGGAGGCAGGGGGATCAGTTAGGATATTTATTATGATGTTGATATGGGAACACAGCAAGCGGCAGTAGAGGCGAAGAACACAATGTATTTGTGAATTATTTGAAAGTCAGCAAAGCATAGTGATGTGCTTAGGGACAGAATGGGGTGTCAATTAGTAAAGGAAAAGAAGTCAGCAATGATTACAGGTTTCTGTCTTGGGAAACTAGTTAAACAGTGGTGCTGCTAAACCAAAATAAGGAATACACGAGGAGGAATGGGTTTGGAGGATGATAGGCAGTGAGTGGTGATGAGTTCAGTTTGAGATACTTTGAATTTGAAGTGTCTTTGGTATACTGACATGGAGATATCAGTTGGACGTTGGATTTAGGGCTGTAGAGCTACACTGAAGATATAGAATTGGGCATTATCAGTGTGGCCTGTCTTGAAAGTGGGTCTGGAGTGTAGTGGAAGGATTAAACTGGTGTTTTAGGGATGTTTTAACAATGGTCCATGAAGGAGGCTGAGACAAGGGAGCCAGAGAAGCAATAGAGGTAACAGCAGGGTACAGTAATGGATGCCAAGGGAAGAGAAAATTTTAAGGAAGAAGAGGTTAAAATAGAAGTTAAAAAGCTTTTATTAGACATAGCAATTAGGGAGACACTAGCAACCTTGGGATGTTTACATACCATTTGGTTGTGGGTATGGGAGGAAAAATATGAAGAAGAGAGATGGGAGATTAGGAAGTGGGCCAAGAATCTTGGTTGTGAAGATGGAAACAGAGTTGAGAACATAGCAAGAGAGAGACATGGGGTTAGGAGACAGTCATTATTTCATCACATCTATCCTCAGGTTCACTAATTCTTCCTTTAGTCATGTCTTACCTACTGCTTAACCGTTCTGTTGAGTTTTTAATTTCAGTATCTCTATTTTTTTTCCATTTCAGTCACTTTGTTGAATTGCTAAGGAACATAACAACAGCCAAAGTTGACACGTTAAATGGGGATGTTTAAGAACAAAGTTAACATGTGATATTGTTTCTCATGTTATTTATTTACTTACTTCAGGTATAATTGACATAACATTATATTAGTTTCAGGTGTACAACATAATGACTTGATATCTGTACACATTGCAAATGATCACCACACTGAGTCTAGTTAACATCCCTCACCCCACATAGTTACAGAATTTTTTCCTTATGATGAGAACTTTTAAGATCTACTCTCTTAGCAACTTTCAAATAATGTAATATAGTATTATTAGCTGTAGTTGCCATGCTGTACATTAAATCCTTGTGTCTTATTTATTTTGTACCTGGAAGTTTGTACTTTTTGACTCTCTTCACCCATCTTACCCACCTCTCTCTACTTCTCACTGTAGAAGTTCAGGAAGTTCTTTTTTAGGTATGCCTAGACTCTATTGGTAGAGTCTTGTTTTTACACCATTGTGTGCCTTTAATAATTTTATTTTTACTTATTTTATTGTCTTTATTTGAAAATTCCGTTCTCTGAAGTTGTTGGGGCTTCAATCCAGCTGTTTGTTGTGTCTGCTGGTAACTTTGTTTCCTAAAGCAGTACGTGATTTCTTAGGTGCGCTCATTTTCAGCAGGAGTTTATCTGTAGGAGTCTTGTGGCCTGGGTGAGGGAACATAAATTCCTGCAAAGGGGTTTTGCATTTGCTTATTCCAAGTACCCCAGGCATGTGTCCAACTAGAAATTACTTTTTATGCTAATTTCTTGGCTTGGGTAAATTATCAAGCCAGGCAGTTTCCATAACTTTTTCCTTTTTTATGTTACTGTAATAAAAGCGTACTGTAAACAGCAAAATGATCTGTTTATATATGTATTTAGGAGTGTGTGTATGTGTGTACACCTACATGGGGGGGGTCCTGTAAAGATACACATTATCACAAAAATTAGCAATAAGTACGAGAGGCAAAGCTTATTGTATTCCTCTCTGGTTTGTTCTGGAACTGTTTTTAGTTTTATTCTATAATAACACTGACCAATACAACTTTTTGAGATAATGTAAAGGTTCTATATCTGCTAGGATCATTTTAGTAGCTGGGAGCAAGACAGTACTATTGAGCATTGAAGAATGAGGAACTGAATTTTTTTTAAATTATAATTCAAAGTTTAAAATAATAAAGGACACTGGGTGACATATTTCTATTATTGATCATAGTGCTATTCCTAGAATTTCTGGTATTTCCAGGGTATTTTTAATAATAAAAACTTAGCCACCAGACCTGAAAGATTGCTAACAAGGAGTGATCGTTTTCATACGTGTGTTCTACATACTCCATAACTCTGAGCTTTCGAGTCCTGTAAAGATTAGGAACCAGATAAAGAGACTACATGAAAAAAGTAACTTACTGAAAAAGTAAAACTCAAAATAATATTCATTATTTTTCTCCATGAAACTTCACATAATAGTCGTTTAGCAAATTAAACTCTAATTAATTAGCTATTAATGAATTCTTTGTCCTAATATTTTGTTTTTAAATACCAACAAAACCTCTTTTTTTTTTTTTTTGCAAGGGAAGATTCACCCTAAGCTAACATCTGTTGCCATCTTCCTCCTTTTTTCTTCCTTTTTCTCCCCTAAAGCCCCAGTACATAATAGTGTATAGTTTTAAGTTCTTCTGGTTCTTGCATGTGAACCACCACCACAGTATGGCTACTGATAGACAAGTAGTGTGGTTCCACGCCCAAGAACCAAACCCAGGCCACCGAAGCAGAGCACAGCAAACTTTAACTGCTAGGCCATCAGGCTGGCTCAACAAAACCTCTTTTTCAGGTAAAGTAAATATTTCTACAAAGACTAAAATTATCAGGACTAAAAATTCTGGAGAACTTTTCCTCTTCCCCAAAAAGACATCACAGTGACTGTTCTTTAATTGTGTCAAAGGATCAGTTGATGAAATCTAATAAGCAGGAAACCCTACGAAATCTTTTGCAGTGGATTACTTGGGCTACTGACCTCACAGTCCCTTGATAGCCAGCAAGCTGTAGCAGAGTTGCAATGTAAGGAAAACTGCAGTGTTGAAAGACCATCACCAAATGGCACTGGGCAGAGTTGCCCCTTCAAGATTTGGTTCAGATAAGTCCAAGACTCACAGAACCCAACAGAAACCCAGAGACACGGTGCCCATCATTTATGGTGTGATGGATACAATATAACAAAGACTGTCAGAGTTGTCTCCCTCACCACACCCGTTTGTTTTATTTTTACAGTTTGTTTTGGTAGCTATTTCAGATTTAAACCTGGTATTCTTTTATGTTTTCCCTAAGTCTTTATTATGGAAAATTTCAAACTTATAAAAGTATAAAGACTAGTATAACAAACCCCTGCATATCCATCATCCAGCTTTAAAAACGAACACCACATAGACAATTTTGTTTTACATATATGCTCTCCATATCTCCTCCTCCCTCCCCTCTGGATTATTTTAAAGCAGATTCCAGGTATTATAACTTTACATCCATAAATATCTGTTCATATCTCTAAAACACAAATATTCTTAAACATAGCTTCAGTACCATCACGCCTAAAATAATTAACAGATTCCTTACTAATCATCATATATCCAATCAGTGTCTAAATTTCCTCAGTTGTCTCCTAAATGTTCTTTTCAGCTGTTTCTCGAAATCAGTATCTAAATAAAATTCAACCCTTGTCATTGGTTGTTATGTCTCTTAGGTCTCTTTTAGTCTATGGGATCTCATTTCTAGCCCCCTTATCCTTGCATTTCATTTGTTGAAGATTCCTAGATGTGGGTCCTATAGTTTCCTATAGTCAGTATTTTGTTCGTTATATACCATGACGGCATTTAGCATCTTCCACTGCCCTCTATATTTCCTAAAGTGGTATTTAGAGATAGACGCTTGATTAGATGCAGCTCAATTTTTGACAAGAACATTCCATAGGTGGTGTTGTCTGTCTCCTCCAGGAGCGCATCATGTTGGATTGTCTCTCTTTGAGGATATTGGCAGCCCTTGAGCGTCGTTGCTTAGCTCATGTGTTTCTAATTCTGCCATTCCTTCTTCAGGTATTAGTTAGGATACGTCTGTTAAGAGAAAGTTCCCCTAGTTGGCAGTTTGGCTGCTGGGGCTGGATTTTGTGCTGTTCACCTGTGCATCTTCCCTGGTGTTCCTTCAGGTCCTGTGTAAATGGCGCCCTTGTGTGCAGTACTACCCAGCTGTGGCATGGTGATAGAATCCTGTGGGGAAATAACCACTTTTTTAGGTAACGAGTTTGTGTTCACTAATACTTTCATATACATTTTTTCTGTTATCTATTTAAATGCAAAACAACTTGATTTTCTCTAATGGTGAAATCTCCCACAGAATTAATTTGCCTAAGAGGAAACGGCGAGATTGGTTGAAAGACTTGGAGAGAGAAACAGGCCCGCCAGAGCATGACTTGGATGCCGCCAGTGAAGCTTCCTCGGAACCAGACTATAACTATGAATTTGCACAGATGGAAGTTATCATGAAAACGCTGAATAGTAATGGTAAGGCCCTGACTCAGGATTCCGTCATCTTGGGCAGTTCCTTACCTCACGCCCTTCAATGAGGGATAAGTGTGAATGAACTTAAAAGTATCGTTGTGAAATTTGGACACACAGAGTTGCTGACTCGGTGAGGGGCTAATGAAAATATTCCAGGGCAGGGTCTGCTCCCTCGGGCATGGCTAGGAAGTGGATGGTCCTTTTCTTGATACCTCTTGTTCCCAAGCTAGTTGTAGTAACATTTCCACGGTCCTAGGGTACTGAATGATTGTCATGGAATTCCTTAGCAAATTTCCCGTTACTGAGCCTGTTGTTCCTGAATCCTTCTGTATGAAAATGCCCAGGAGAGATGAATTCAGAAATTTCAAATAGAATCTAATGGAGAGAGAAATGCACAATGTTTTACCATAAACTCAATTGGAAATTATACCCCCACAGAGACTTATTTAACAAGCCCAGGTAGCTTTTACAAAAATGATAGCTAAAATGAAATGCATTATAAGCTCTTTTGCTTGACCTACACTCCAACCCATCTCAGATCTTTAAAAAGTTCTCCTTAAAGCATTATTTCTAGATCCTTCTTTCCAGAAGGTTTTCAATGTTTATATTGAAGTTCTTTCTCTCTGTGTCTAAAAGGAAGTCCTGTATCTCTTCATATACATGTGCATGTAATAAAACACACACCAAATGCTTTCCTTGCTTGCTATTTTATCAGTCTGCCCCTTCCATTCCCATCTCTAAGTCCCCTAATCTGCCGGCTCAGTGCCTGGGAACTATAAGCAGGAGAGGAAAGTTCCCCTGTTAGCAGGCAATAGGTGGCATTTCTGGGACTAGAACTATTTTGTAAGGATGAAGTCGAGGCTGCATTCAGGAGCGCCTGAGAAAGTTGGTTTTCGGAATTTTTCCAACCTCACTTTCCCATTCCTCTGCTCTTTAGATACATAAGGATCCCTAACTTGAACCAAAAGAGAACTTTCTGGGATGCTGAAAGCCCTAATCGGGCAGCCTCTGCCTGACGTGTTACTTGGAGAGCATTTTGGTTTTCACAGTTGAGTTCTTCCCTTAAACAGCTACTTTCCCACTCTCCTCTATGAAGAAGCCTGTCTGGAAAGAACTTAAGCATGGCTAGATCAGTCAGATCATTGGCATATCAAATTGGGGATTCTTTTGCAGGAACAAAGATTTTGACATTTTTAGTTCTATTTATGAATTTTGTATCCTGTTTTTAATTATAAAAATGGAGTATGAAGAAAAGGCCAGTTTGAAAACAAATGTGATGTATTAATATGAAGAGTATGGACCAACAAAAAAGAACATCACTGTAAGATTAGGGATAAGGTTAGCTACTGGGGTTTTGACACTGCAACACAGGGTGGACCATAGCTAGAAATCAAGCTTCCGTCCACTCTGCTACTTGCTCACCAAGTTGGGAGGAATCCCAAAAGACATTTCAAAGTGATGTTCAAGCATCAGAATCACATTAACGGATCATTTAACAACATGCCTGGGCAACAAGTCTCCTGTGAGTGATGTTTTGGAAGCCCTAGTGGATACAGGATGTGACAGGAGGATGTAAGCTCCAAACTCCAGGTGGAGGAATGCCCATTTGGAGAGAGGTTATTTCTTTTGATGAGGCTGCAGAATCCCAGATGTCTCTATCTTCTAACTCTGCAGCGTATACAGGTGGTATCAATTTAATCATGTCTCATCCCACATCACAGATTTTCTCATTTTATCCAATTGCTACCTTCTGATCATAAATAAATAAATATATATGTGTATATATATATATATATATATATATATATAACAACCCTGAATAACCAACGAGTATTTAGTAAGCATTTGTTAACTCTTCCTATCTTCTTAGCCAAACCAATTAGTCATCAGTGGCCTCACTCATGGTATTCACATCAGTTGTCCATTTGCATTCTAGATCAGGCCTTGTTCTCCAGTGATGATTTGTCTATTCAGAAGTAATGTTTCCCATCCTCACCTCTTAGCCAATCCACCAGTAAATAGAACTCCCTGTGGGGCGTGCAGATGTGCTCTGATACAAGTGCTGAAATGCTGGTGGCTGGACACCGTTCATGTGATTCACCTCTGCTACTAGGTGGCTTCCCGATAATAAGCCTGTCTGCCTGGTGGTCGTCCCCTTGGTGGTCCTACTTGAAGATTCTCTTCCCTCTCATGTGGTTTCAGACGAAGCTCCTCCACAAACGCTGGGATAAAGGTTTTAACTGATTGGCATTAGCATGAGGGAGCTTGACTGGTTTTAGCAGTGCTGCTCATTGATGCTTGTGCTACATGCTTTGGCAAAATCTAACTAATGTGACTGGGAAGAAGCTAAAGTTTTCTGCCTGACAGGGGTACTCTGTATTCTTGATTGAGGAATGTTGCTTTTTTTTCAATTATGATCCCTCCCTCCCCATATCCTGACTCCATTGCCTTCCAATGGTTAAAATCTGGTAGCTATTCTTTTCCCAATGCACCCAACAGCACAAAAGTATTGTTGGTGTTATTGCTACTGTTACTAGTGGCATTTATTACTGTTGAAAGCACAGCAGACCAGGACATAGAACTTCCAGATACATATTCACCTGCATTATCACAGTAATAGACTAGAATAATGTGTTTCTGAGTCTCTAGGGTAAATAATGATCTAAAGTCCAATTCATTTGAATTAATAGTAAAAGTAAACCTAGTATCTATAGACGGTAATGAATTCTTCCTGAGGGTTCAAAATTGGAATGAGACACTCATCTGTTTTCACAGAGTCAGTGGTAGGTCCAAAGTGAAGAGCAGTTAAGGGGCGAGTGAAGGGTCATAGAGCCAGTTTATTCCATCTGGGATTGAAAGGTTCTTTTTCCCCCCCAAGGATCTACTTCCTTTCAATTCGGTGTTTCAAGCACTTGGTGTGAATTAATTCTAATTCTATTTATCACATAAATGCCCTCAGCCTTTTGCACCATCACCATCTTTTTTCTATTCTCAGGACAAATAGGTAAGTTTGAGCTCATTCCATGTTTACGTACGAGGTAAAGAATAATCTAATAAAAAAGAGAAACTGTTATGCCCAATGTAGTCCTTCTCTCTTCCTAAAATACCTGCTTCTTTGGTATCTTGGCCTTAGGCACCAGGCTCACTGAGTTTTAAAACAGTTCATTCAAGAGGAAGAAAGTGACGGAAAAATAAAACTGGACAATCTCTTAATAGTTGATTGGTCACTTCAGCATAGGCCGAATAGTCTTCAGCTTCTGTCCTGGGCCTTATCATAGGTTCAGATTGACTTGCTGATTAGGATGATCTATTTAAAAATTATGCTGTATTGTGATAAAGGCTTGAAACTGGTCAGTTAATTTGGAAAAAAAATGTTATCAAATATGTCTAAGAGAAAAGTCTTTCCAGACTTGTGTTGGGATCAAAGGGGGAAAAAAAGGAAGGTAACCTCAGTCCCTGTACCTCTCCCAGGACTGTGTATGGCATGGCCAGACCTGGAGTCCCCCGGGCAGGGCTCACCGAGCTGTACTGTGGCAGGCTCAGGGGAGGGCTGCTTTGAGTTGCTCTCTCTTCCACATCTGCATGTTGATTTGTGGCCCCTAATAAAGCCTGGTGAGTAGTAGGGATGTTATGTCATGGCAGCTGCGAACACAGTTTGAAGCAGCCTCAGTCACATTGCCTCTGTGTTGGCATGGAATCTTGGGGTGAAATGCCCCCTGCCTCAGCCATTTGGGATCATGTGTGTTTCTACACACCCCTGACAAGTGCAAATGAGGATTAAATACCTTATTCAGTGTCTTTTAGCAAAAACGCTGGAATATAATTTTATAAAATGGTGTGTTTTCCGATATTCTCTCTCAGGAAAAGATTCATAAACACTAAGGGCCCTTGAAAACAAGGTTCTATATAAATGGGGAGCAGGGACTCTGTCCTTCCTTTCCTAGAATCTAAATAGGGAAAAAAGGTCTAGTGTTTGAGAAATATATTTTTTAAAAATTCTGAGAGAACTTTTCTTCTCTAGCCCTTACATTTAGAATTTCTTCAGACTCTTTCAGAAAAGCTCGTCGTGTTATGCATGTTTTTTCGGAAGTTGTAGGGTATGTCAGAAGTTCTCATGCTTTGGAGTACATAGATTTTCACTCTGTGGAAAAGGTCTTACCCACTCGTGGTCTGCCTGTGTGTAAGAGGTTTTGTTTGTTTGTTTGTTTTGTTTTTTAGGAGTTCATTTTCCATCAGCTTTTGAAGGAACGTATTTTAGACTGTATGTCAGGACTCTATGGAGAAAACTATTCTGCTTTGAAAAAAATGCTGAATTTTAGAATTTTATATCAGCAAAGAACAGTATTTTTAAAAAAATACCTACTCTTTAACAGAGTACTAATCTGAGCAAAACATTGGAGATAAGAATACTACATCAGTTTATGTCCTACCCTAGACTGCTCTGATCTGAGTTCAAAACCTGGTTCTGTCACTCATGACCTATATGATCTTAGGTCAGCTCCTTAACCTTTCTGAGCCCCATTTTCTCATCTTTAGAATGGGAATGTTATCCACCCTTACATTGTAATGTTGCAAGGCTTTCATGAGATGATGCATGCGAAGGGTATAGTGCCTCTACCTGATATAGCCAGGAGCTAGTAGAATTATTATTGCCATTGTGGTTGTCATTTTTATTAAAAGAACTCACCTATACTGTGTGTATCTAGTAGTTTTTAAAATTGTTTTCTACTTTTTGTTTTGTATTATTTAATCTTGTTTTTTTTAAGCTAACATGCTATCTTTTTCTCTTGCTGCTCATTTAGAAAATTAGTACAGTTTACATGTCTATTTCACAAATTGATAGGGTCTTCTAGAAAAGTCAGTCAATAGTCATCATAAAAATTCCTCTTATCTTAATTTCCCACTCTTATCCCAACAATTAAACTGAGAGTAAGTATGTGGAACTATAACACGAATAGCACTGAATAACAGGCAAATGTGTGAATCCCAGGCTAGCCTGAGAATATGAACGCATCTCCTCCAGGTCCCGTGTACTTCAAGGAAATGTTTACTATGATGGTAATTTTCTTATTTACCATCCAGATAATCTAACATACTGTTTCCCTACAGTCTACTCACTTAGAGGGGTCAGTACCTTTCTCCTGTGTACATATGGTCAGTGCCTTCATCTTTTTCCACAGCATCCAGATCATTGGTCATTACCAAGCTAATATCCTGCCACAGCCAGTTAGCTCTTTGGGATTGAGTACTTCCTACACCCCAACCACCACCAGTCTAGCAGTGGCCCCTTTGAGCAAGTTCTGTTAGTATTTCCATACCTATTCACCCACGTGTATGTTGGTGATCTCTAGATCTGCAAAAGCAAAAAATGAGTAATAGCCTTTACTTTTCCAAGTGAATTACCCTCCCCCACTGCCTTTATTTCTTCTTTTTTTTCTTTTATTTTTGCAAGTGAATCGTGCTCTTGGAAATTAGCACCTGAGAAATTGCCAGACCATATACTCAATCAATACTTTCAAACATATGCTATGATCTGTAATTTTCTTCCCTTATGAGAGAAATTCAGGAAGAATGAGATTTGTGGTTAAAATTGGAAATGTAAACCCTTTGCCATATACTAAAACTGATACCAAATGGGCACAGAAATTGACTACCATGAAAATCAAATCTATGTGGCTCTGTCTTTGAAGTCTTCCTACATTTCATGAAGTTTTTCTTCTCAATGGATAGGATCCAATCTCTTCCTCTACCATCTGCTTATAGTAGATTAAGGGTCTATCTGAACGTTAGGATGAGCTCATCAAGTTGAGGAAAGTAACATAGTAGACATGGAGAATGTTTACATATAGGGCATTTAGCTAAAAATTTAGTAAAACGGAAATTGAGAGGATTTCATCTGACAGGGCCCTGGCCTCTCACAGAAAGCATATTGAAGGGCCGGATTCTGCGGGAGGAGGTGGTTCTTGCCAGAAAAAGTACTGACAGGCTGCCTGTCTCAGCCACCACTGAAGATGCCTTGCCTTATCTCTTGGCTCACCAGACCCAGTTCAAAATGTGGTCCAGGTCCTGGAGAAGCAATACCTAGAAGAGAAGAGGAGTGCTCTTGAGGAGCAGCGGCTCATGTATGAGCGGGAGCTGGAGCAACTCCGCCAGCAGCTCTCCCCTGAGAGGCAGCCCCAGAGCAGTGGCCCCGACCGCCTGGCCTACAGCAGCCAGACAGCTCAGCAGAAGGTGACCCAGTGGGCAGAGGAGAGGTGAGAACGGGGTCCTGGGAGACCCAGAGTCAAGGCTTGGGGGGAGGGGGTTGTGAGGCATATCAGAGGGGGGCAAACTTAACATAGAAGGAAAACTTACTCCCATACCTGGATTGTTAGCAGTTGGCTCTCTCTTTCAAATATATTGTCCATCCTAAGTATGTTTACCATAATGTTGGTTGGTAAAGACACACCGGTCCACTGCTTTACCGTTCCATAAAAATGGTACCAAGTTAGAAGGCTTAAACTAGGTATTGGAAAAAAAATTTGAATAATTCTTTAGCATAAAAGCACTTCTCATTTTTTATTTCTCTTTTGATTCTATTTAAAATCTGCATATGAATTTTTAAATTTAGAATATTTATATCAGAACTGACGTCGTGGTGGAGGAAATGGTGGTAATAATAATAAAAAAAAATGATGGTAATTTATTGCTAAGTTCTGTTGTGTTTTTACCCAGTCTGGACGTGGTGCTAATGCTGTAGGAAGTATTGTCTGTATCTTGTAGGTAGGGCAGTCAGTTTAAATATCCCGCTCAATCACTCATCTAGTAAATGAGAAAGCCAGGGGTGAACCCAGGTCTGTGGCCAGTCCCATTAATAACACCTGTGTTATAACAATGGTTTAGTAATACCAGTAAAAGCAGCATTTATAGAGCATTTACCTTGTGCCAGGCACTAAGTGCTTTACATATATTCATCTACTCGTCACAGCTGCTACTATATTTTACTGTTTTCACCCCCATTTCACACATGAGGAACCTGAGGCTGAGAGGTTAAATGACTTACCCAAAGAGGCAGTGGGATCAAAGCCGTGGCAGGCTGACTCTAGAGCCACTGCTCCAACCGCACTGCATCTCTCACCAGCAGTGGTATGCTCACCTTGAGCCACATCCAGGGAGGATGACCCCTAAGAGGAGAAAAGGGCAGCCCACCCTGCATTAGAAGACTCACCATAGTAATGCACTTGATTGTTCTAAACTGAGAGAAAAGAGTCCATTACATTTTCTGCTGTCTGCTCATCTGTCTGGATACCGAAGTATGAATATTTATCATACTTGTAATATATTACTCTTTATATTTTACTGTGCCTGGGTAAAATAGACAAAGGTTATCAGATGGTGCTTTTTCTGAAAGCTGCCTTTTCCACATATGCTGTGAGCTGATGGCTTTCCTGTAAGCAGTAGCTTGCTGAGGGTGACTGGTGTAATTGTACCCACTAATACCCTCTCTCCTTATCCTCCCTATTTTCTATGTACTGAAGATTGTAAAAGACAGAACCAAAAGGATGCAAGAGAAAAGGTGGATTGCTTTTAATTATAGTGTTTTTAGTTAAATGTCAAAAAAAATTTTTCAACTTCCCATAATTCCAGATTGAGTCTCTTGGAGACTCAAATTCTTGAAAAGAAACAGAATAGAAAGGATAATATTTTGGGGATGTAATTCAAAAAGATAATGGTTACAATACTGATTTCACCAGGTTTCACTGGAGAAAATTAAGATGTCATTAATGGTGGTTGCTTATATAAAAAGCTGGGACTCTTATCTAAGTAAGTGGTGATGGCTTGTGAAATACTGAAGAACTCATGCCTAAGTAAATGTTGAGCGGTGAGAATCAAGTCCATTTAAGTGCTAATGAGACTTGCACAGAAAGCTAGAGATGTAGCCTATTCCTTCTGTACACTTGTATGTAGATCAAGATACAAATATGTGAAAATTAAATCATAGAGGTAAATTGAAAAACGGTTGTATTCCACAATAGAAAACGTTACACTTATGTATTATTTGTTTGTTGTTGATCTCCACTGGAAGGTAAATTCTGGGCCAGGGAATAGGTTTCATTCATTGAAGTATCCCCAGGGCCTAGAACCAACGTTGTCATGTGGTATGTGCTTAGTAAACATTGACTGTGTGAAATTATTGCAGCGATAAGCAGGAATGTGATGGCCAGTTGGGCAGAGGACTCAGTAAGTACAGTGGTTGTTTAGTGGAGGCTGACAGCCCAGTGAAGTTGAGCCTCCTGTGCAGATTTCCTGGAGAAGGCAGCGTTTCAAGTGGGTTTGAAGGGTGGGGATTAGATAGGCAGAGAGAAAGGGGGAGGGCACTTCAGATAGGTGGGTTGTCATAAACAAATGTGAAGCAGTGGAGAAGAGTAAGATGTGTTTTGGGGATTACACAAGAAGTTTAGTTTAGAAGGTGAGTTATAGAGGAGTAGGGAGAATTAAGTGCAAAACTGTTAGATAGGATGCGCAGGCGTTCGTCAGACATGAATGTTTGGCGTTTATATTATGGGAGAAGAGGAGGTTTTGAGCTTAGGAGTGACCTGAGAAAGGCAGGGGTTTGTAAGGACTGTCTTGGAGTGGAGGAGGAAGAAGCTGGGCACTGTGAGAATATTAGGAGGGTATGAGGAACATGAACCAGGGGTAACAAAAAAAAATACACACACAGAAATTTAGGAGGTTTTTCAAAGGAAGAATCAACAAGGCTTTTTTCTGGATGTTGTGGAAAAAAAAAAAGACTGAGCTGGCTGAAAGAAGTCAAGCCTGAGTAACTAATAAAAATAAAAATATAATTTAGAAAAAGCAGGAAGGCACTATCAACATTAGGTACATTGTAGGCCATTTTATAATGACATATTCGTGGTACCCCTCCTGTGTCATTTCTAAGGTGATGAGAAAGGAGTAGCGATTTGAGTGTTCCAAGTTCATCATTTCCCTATGAAGTAAGGACAGGAGGTATACAAATGGTAGAAAAGGGAAGCTATATAGAGCATAGAGCAATCTGCTAGACTTTGAATCTTGGAATCCAGATTCAAATGTGAATCCAGAAATACTCTCTCTCTCATTCAATGAGTATTTTTTGAATATCCTACAATGGGCAATGCACTTGGCCAGGAATTAAGTGTAATGACAAGTGAAAAAGACAGGGTTCCGGTCCTAGGGGCACTTTCAACTTCATAAGGGAAATAGACATTAATCAAATAATTATGCAAATAAGTGAAAAATTATAACTATGACCAATGCCACTGAGGCAAAAGACGTGGGGCTGGGACAACATACAATAGAGTTTTGACCCAGCCAGGATGTTAGAGAAACTTTTGTCAGCAAGTAATTATGTAGAGAGTTGAAAAAAGAACTCCTGCTGCCACAGAAGTACCCACTTCTTGTCTTTTACCAACTGAAGAAAGCATGTGAAACATTTGCCTCTAATTTGAGATCTCTCTCATCTGCCCAACTCCCCTTGCTGCCCCCAAAGCACACATAAATCATAATCATTTCTTTTTCCTAAAGGATTCTGTTGTTGGTTTTTTTTGCATCTCAATATCAAAATCTAGTAGTTTTCAAATGTTATATAATTTAAAACACGGTATTTAGTTATGTCACTCCATATATTTGCTCCTTTTCAGGGGTTACCAACAGCCCACAGAATCCTGGTGGGAGGACGGATGAACAAGAGGTGATTTGGCAAAAATAGATTGAAAAATATTGCCTGGAAGGAGTTTTCTACCACTTTCTAATAATATGACTCACGTAGGAAGCAGTTTTCTTTTAGAATTTCTCATTTCCTTTTCTGCTGTACCACAGGGATGAACTCTTCCGTCAGAGCCTGGCCAAACTGCGCGAGCAGCTGGTGAAAGCTAATACCTTGGTGAGGGAGGCAAACTTCTTAGCTGAGGAAATGAGCAAACTCACTGACTACCAGGTGACTCTGCAGATCCCTGCTGCCAACCTCAGTGCCAATAGGAAGGTAAGAACGAGAACAAGGTGTACGAGAGGGAATGCTGTGAGGCGGAATGTAGACCTGACATCCCAAAACACGCCTGTGAGGAGATCCTGATGGGAGCCAGCGTGTTTATTCTTTTTAAGACTTCTGTAGACCTCCTTGGGTAAGAATGCTACGTAGGCAATGCCCTTAGGTATGTTATGATCAGAATAGGAGAATTTTGGTGGGTGAAAGACTTTCTAATTTAAATGTTTGCTTTAAAACAGTGAAACTAGAAATATATATACAATCATGCTCCACATCACGGCAGTTCGGTCAGCGACAGACTGCGTGTTGAGTAGTAGGCTGTGCCGTCTGGGTTTGTGTGAATACACGTTATGATGTTGGCACAACGACAGTCACCTAACGACACATTCCTCAGAACATATCCCCATCGTTATGCAGTGCGTGACTGTATAAGTAATCCCACCTGCTTTTTCTCTTTCATATAAATGCTCTTTTCTGAACTGGGGGATATGTGTATGTTTGGTTATAGTATCATTTTAAGAGTGAATTCTACAAGGAAGGAAGACTTGTATGATACCTGTCTCTACATACAAAGAAGGACTCTTTGCAGGAATTTGAAAGTTTCCCATCATTTCAACTTGAACAATTTTTCCTGTAGGGAGAATCTTTGAAAAAAAAGATTTTCATTCATTCATTTTTGCCTTTCAGCAAGCAAGCTTGAAATGAATCAGGGCGTATCTCAGCAGTCTTGCTAGGTGTTAGTCTTTTGACCAAGTAGTTCTCTTTTGAGAAATTTATTCTAAGTCCATAGTCATAGAAGTGTACATAAAGGTTTATGTGCTTTTTGTACAGAGATGCTTGTCATAATGGCCCTTATAATAGCAAAAATTTGAAATAGCCATGATGTTGAACAGTAGTGTAATTAGTCAAATGTGTGGTACATTCCTCTTGGATTATTATGTTGCTGTTAAAAGTCATATTTATGAAGAATGTTTAACAACACAAGATGATAATCGTAATATAAAATCTGTCGAGAGAAGATTGGGATAGGAAATTTATATTTTTGTTTGGTTCTGATTGTGATAAAAGTAAAAAGTGTGTGCATGGGTGTACATAGAAAATGGAAAATAAACCAGAATATTCCCTAGGTGCTAGAATTTCATCTTTTCATTATGTGTTTTTTTTTCAAATTTGCTACTTTATGATAATATGTGTTGCTTTAACAATCCAAAAAGTTGTAACAAGGTTTGTTTTGTTTTTGTTTTTCTTGTTATGCAGAGAGGAGCAATAGTGAGTGAGCCAGCAATTCAAGTGAGGAGGAAAGGAAAGAGCACCCAAGTTTGGACCATTGAGAAGCTGGAGAATAAATTAATTGATATGAGAGACCTTTATCAAGAATGGAAGGAAAAAGTTCCTGAGGTAAAAGAGACAAATTGTAAAGGAGACTCGGCCATGTTAAAAGCAGAGAATATAAGTGATTTAACTGTCAGAACACACACACGTGCCAGTGAATATTTGTAGTGGTATTTTGGACATTTATATTAGAAAAGTAAAGTAAAAGTGATCTCGGAAGGAATGCTAAGTTGGAACAGTAATATAATGTGATCCCCACACGGATAGGAACTAGACGAAGAGAATACAGAACATATTCTTATTTGGCTACATTTTTACTACATTTCAAGTGAAATGAAGTAGAGAAAAGTAAATTTGTGTTGTAAAAAGTCAGCTCGGATGGGGGCCAGCCCGGTGGCGTAGTGGTTAAATTCATGCATTCCACTTCAGCACCCCAGGGTTCACAGGTTCAGATCCTGGGTGAGGACCTGACACCTCTTGGCAAGCCACGCTGTGGCGGCATCCCACATAAGATAGAGGAAGATTGGCACAGATGTTAGCTCAGTGACAATCTTCATCCCAAAAAAAAAATAATCAGCTCAGATGGAGCCAGCATAGATTGTATATTCATCAGCATGTGTTCATGCTCCCCTAGCTGTTACCATGGCTGGGTAGATTACTAAGAAGAATTTGAGAGAGCATAATCCACTTTTTGGAACTCAGTAATGGGAAAGAAGACTCGGTGAAGGAAATGAAGCCAAAGCACAGGGAAGGAAATGAAAAAGGCTGACAGTGAGTATGATAGGGAAGACGAGGCAGTCAATAAGAAAGGGCCCTCCACACGGATATCACTTAGTTCTCCAACTGACAAGCCCCTCCCGTGTGCTAATTTTGTTTTATTTATGTGACATGGTTGTCAATTTACTTCTTTTTAATTCATTTGGATAAATGCTTTTTAAAAAAATGTTTTTAATGCTAGCTTTAAGTAATATTATTTAAGTTGATGTTTTGTTTCCTACTTACCTACTCACCTGGCCCTCCTACGACTCAGGCAAAGAGACTCTACGGGAAACGAGGTGACCCTTTCTACGAAGCCCAAGAGAATCACAACCTCATTGGTGTGGCTAATGTGTTCTTGGAGTGTCTCTTCTGCGATGTGAAACTTCAGTACGCAGTCCCCATCATCAGCCAGCAGGGGGAGGTGAGGACGGGCCAGCGTCGGAGAAAAGAATCGTGGTTCAAGTTTTTTTTTTTTAATTCGATTTAGTTTATGTTCTTGAAGTAGATCAAGAGTCAGGATCTACATTCTTTTTTCTCTACTAATATCAACAGAACTTGTGAACATTACGTCATGATTTTAAAACATTAGTATAACACATTTTATATTTGTGCCTCACAAGTTTTTTCTTTGTTTTCATCAAATTAGAATTTTTTGGGGAACCAGATTCAGCTCTGTGCCCCATATTCATTTCTCTTTTATTCTCTTGCCTTAGTGATACACTCGATTCTTTCCTGGCCCTTAAGTGGCCTTTACAAGACACAGCTTGGGAAGATGGTTTTGAAATCCAAAGTGTTCAAAGAAGACAAGCTTAACCATCCCATTGTTGCCCCCTTTTAAACTCTCATATTTCAAGTATTTAGATGTAGTGTCCTTTTGTAGGCCTAAGACATTTCAGAAAATTTTCAAGGTCAAACTTTTCATTTTATCCATTTCATCAACTGATGTTATTGTTTTAAGTTTAGTAATACCCTTATTTCCTAGCTTGTCCTTCAATAACATGTAAACTTGAAATACTGAGTTAATTTTTGTGATTCTTAGAGCAGGCTGAGAATAGGAGGCCATTCTCCCCAAAGTGAACCCGGAAAATAGACCCTGCGTTGCCAGTTGTGGTGTTGTAAGGACACATCTTACATTTGACGCATGTGAACGCTCTGCTCTAGAAGACCAGTGGGCTAGAATTGCTTTTTCTTGTCTTAAAAATGGTCACAACAGCTGTGGCAAAGGGATTCAGTGGCTAAGTCCCTGGTCAGGGGTTCTTAAGCTCGGGTCTGTGGTGGGCTTTGAGTGTTCCATGAATCCCCCTGAAACCATATTAAAAATGTATTAGAGTCTCAAAAAGCATTGGAAAAAAGCTTAAGAACCACTATCTTCTAGCCGATGTCTCTTATTCCCTTTTTCCTTCCCTCTTACTACTTCCTCCATATTTGTCTCACTTGTCAAATACCATCAACTAATTTCCCTCAGGTCCTTGATGCCAGTGCCAAGTGGCATGTGGAAATTGGGTCTGAGCTACCTTTAAAAATAAGCCTCACTATTTAAGATGACAGCAGCACTGTCAGAACATGTATCAGCTTCACAACTCTGCTCATTACAACCTTGAACTGTGTTATGAACGATAACTTGCCCAATTACAACCCTCTGAGGATGCAAATTTCAGGATAGTGAGAAAATTTTAAGCCTTAAAAAAAAAAGTTTTATGAGAACTGTTTCCTTATGACTTCATGGCTTTGTATATTCTGTTCCTCATGGAATAATAGGTCTCACCCCCTCACAGAGCCCTTCTTCACCCTGTCCCAGCCGCCATCTGCGTTACATACCCATCTCTACTCCCGAGAGCCCAGTGAGCATGTCTGTTTTGTTTACTCTTGTAAATGCAACATTTGGTGCAGTTCCTGGCACAGAGTCCGTTCCTGGTAAATTTTTGTTGAGTGGGTAGATTTGTCCCATAACAACCTGTGCATACCTCTGTTATAGCAGCTAGTCCACACTGTTGTTACAGGTTTTTACTTCTCTATCTTTCTTGATTGTGAGTCCTCCAACAGCAGAGCCCATGTCTTTATCTTGGTATTTCTATGAGGCCAGGTATTTTGATCAAATGATTAAGTGAATGAATATGCCAACATGGAAAATAGGTGACTCCAAGTAGAATATGATAGTTGCCTTTAAGCTGTTCATGGGCTGCCCTACAGAAGAAGGATAAGAATGAAGATGACTCCAGAAGGCAAGGTGTAAGGAGGCAAATTTGGCCCAAAGTAAGGCAGTATGATTAGAGGGACAAGCGATGGAATGGTCTGGCTCAGGGAGTGTTGAGTTTCCCGTTGCTGGAGATGGCCAAGCAGTAGCTGTAGAACTGCTCACTGGGGATATTGTAGAGAGCTTTCTGTTTCAGGTCAGTGCTGTCCATGAGATGTCTTTTAACTCCAAGGTGCTCTGGTTCCTTGACCCAGGTTGCAGGGCGCCTCCACGTGGAAGTGATGCGTGTTACAGGAGCTGTCCCGGAGCGCGTGGTGGAGGATGACTCCTCGGAGAACTCCAGTGAAAGTGGGAGCCTTGAAGTCGTAGACAGCAGTGGGGAAATCATTCACCGAGTCAAAAAACTGACTTGCCGGGTGAGAGGGCAGTGATGGGAAGGCTCAGATAGATGACCTTTTTAATTCAAAACAATATTATAGAAAATCTTATGAGTTTTTCATAGAGCATAGTAAAAGGTAGACTTTCTGACAATAAATACGATGGTGGACAGTACTTTTTCCAGAAGTATAGCACACTTTTTTACGACAATTACTTGATATTTCAGAAGTCTATGTGTATTTGGCATGCAAGAAGCGTGTGTTGCTTAGTGAATCATGCTTTTGTAGTAAACATTGCGTCTGTATCAGAAACACAGTCGTTAGGAAAATTTTAGAGGGATGTGTACATTTGTTGCCAAGTTTATATACTATAATTACAGCACCACAGTCCAGGTTTCATTACAGATAGAATCTGTATTGAAATGGTGCCAAGTATTTTCAGATGTCAAATGGATGACTGATTTATTTCGTTGCTTACTCTTAAATTTGAAGTTGTTGAAAAAAGAGAAGAATACGTAGTTTAATGTTTTCTTCATGAGAGTTATATTTCCTTTTTTTAAAATCTCTTCAGGTAAAAATTAAAGAGGCAACTGGGCTGCCCTTAAACCTCTCAAATTTTGTCTTCTGTCAATACACTTTCTGGGACCAGTGTGAGTCTACAGTGGCTGCCCCTGTGGTGGACCCAGAGGTGCCCTCCCCGCAGTCCAAGGATGCCCAGTACACCGTGACCTTCTCTCACTGTAAGGTACAGGCGCCGTTTCAAAATGAGCTGTGCAGGAGGCAGTGGACCTGGGCGAGGTTCATATCTCTACCTGTAACTTCAAAGTTTTCCCCCTAAGAATCTTTTATAAACATAATATGTTTATTGGGCTTTTTAGCCCCAAAATGTACTGCATTACAAATTCAGATAATTTGAGGATGTTTCAAACAAAATCTAAAAGATCTCTTCCCAAAATATTATTCCCCAAAGATGTAACCACCAATGACACGTTGCTACATATTTTGCTAAGCAGTTTTCTGTTCTCTACAACTTCTATATGTATGTAGTAAACGTATGTTCATACACATAAATGGGAATGGATACACAAAACATCATGCATACCTTCTCAAAAAATTGCTTTTACAAATGTGGGATCCTATTATACATGTTGCAGAATTGCATCTTATTATTTTAATAAATGTGGACATCTTAACAGGTAAGTTGTTATAGATATTTTTCATTCTTTTGAATATACTATAGCATTCTAAGCATAGCATTCTAATGTACCATGTGAGTTTTTAAGAACATATAAAATAGAAAAGGTGAATTTTTGATGAATATTGGTTGGACCTACTTTTGTGGCATCAGCTACCTTTCCTGTCTTTCATATCAGACTGCCAACAAATCATTTCTGACAGAGGTACTCTGCCCTCTGTGTAATTTTGTTTTTCTTTGGACAGTCCTTAATAGATACTCAAGACCTTTTCTTTTGCAAGTTGTGCCTATTCTTTCTGGTTCTACACTTAGAAAAAAAAACCGTATCACCACTTATAAAATTTCACATATGTAAAGACTATCCAGTCTTTCTTTTTCTGAAAATAAATAGCCCACTTATTTTCGCCTGTTTTCACCAAGTCTGTTTCTCAAAATCTTTATAATCATTTTTTTTGTTATTGTTCTCTCAATACTCTTAAATATTCCCCATCTTTCTTTGAATCCACAAAGCTGTCATTTAGAAGGATAAAACCTGAATTTTAAGTGCATTGTAGTTAAAAATTGGTTTAATAAATACTGGTCTCGGAGCCCCTGGAGTCACTGTGTGACCTTGGGGTTTTTTTAATCTCTAAAACGTGTATATTGTATTCATTGGTCATTATGTTTATTTTTTCTTCTAAAATTCTGGCTCTGTCTCCAAATAGAATAAATAAGAAGGTAGATAGTAAAAGGTTAAATAAGTGTAGCACAGCTATTTCCAGAAATTAGAGTCGTAGAGTTGTCTTCACCTGAGATTCCACTGAGATGCTGAGAAAATTGGCTTGGTTCCTTGCCTGCTGCTTTGTTCAGGGTGATTTGTCATACTTCTCAGTCAATTTAGTATTCATTTCCTCACACTTATCTGTTTACGTTTTACAATGAGGAATTGGGGTGAGAGAGTTTAAGAGCAAGGGCACAGAGTCATGAAGTTAATCATGTAAAATTTAATTCTCTTATTATTCTTCTATGCCATAGCAAGGAACAATCAGAATTTCCTTTTTTTGATGTGCTGATTAGTCTGTGCTAGCCTAGAGTCAGAATGGTCCTGTGGAACCAAGAAAGAACCAGAAATAAGGGAATATAGATTTGGCTCTGCAGCTAACTAGCAGTATGACGTGGGACAAGTTGCTTTCTTCAGTTTCCTCCCTGATAAGAGAAAGGAGTTTGAATTAAATTACCTCCTAATTTTCCTTCCTCATCTAATATTTGTGATTCTTTATGGTTTTCTATAAACGAAATAGTTTTAGGGTTAAGATTAGGCTAATATATTCCAAAGTGAATATATATACAGTTGAAAGGTAAAAAGGAAATTTCACAGATTCCTTTATGCATAATTATTGTCATTCTCTTCTTCCTCCCCCTTTTCCCAGGACTATGTGGTGAACGTAACAGAAGAATTCCTAGAGTTCATTTCAGATGGAGCATTGGCGATTGAAGTGTGGGGCCACCGGTGTGCTGGAAATGGTAGCTCCATCTGGGAAGTCGATTCTCTTCATGCTAAGACAAGAACATTGCATGATAGGTTTGTACTTGGCTGTGTGCTTTAGACACAGGATCAAGACTCGCACTGGACAGTGATTAAGAATGCAGACTCTCTGGACCTGTTTCCTCATTTGTGAAATGAGAAAGATAAAAGGAACCACCAGGCATTAAAGACATTGAGTGGGGAAAGGAAAGTCTTTTCAACAAACGAAACCGAAACAACTGCATATCTATGTGGAAAAAAACAACCTTGACCTTTATTTCACACCATACACAAAAATTAATTTGAGATGGATCATAACCTTAAGTGTAAAAGCTAAAACTATAAAGCTTACAGAAGAAAATAGAGTATTTTCATGATTTTGAGATAGTCACAGATTCTTAGAGAGGCCACAAAAAGAACTTACCATAGAAGAAAAAAGTTTTAAGTTGGACTTAATCAAAGTTAAAAGCTTGTGCTTATCAAAAGACATCAGTATGAAAATGACTAGACAAGCCACAGTCTGGGAGAAAAGTCACAGCTTCTTGTAAAGTTGATGATTTGCCTCTTCTATTACCCAGCAGTCCTACTCCTAGGCATTTACCAAGAAAAATGAAAACATTAAGTCCACAAACAAACTTGTACATGAACCTTCATGGCAACTTTATTGATAATATCCCAAAACTACAGACAACCCAAATGTCCTTCAGTAGGAGAATTGATAAACAAATTGTGGTATTATTCATATGGTAGAATATTACTCAGCAATAAAAAAGAAAGGATCTATTGATATCCATTTGGGTGAATCTCAGAAACATTATGCTGAATCAAAGAAGCTAGACCTAAAAGAGTACATACTACATGATTCCATTTATATAAATTTCTGGAATAGGCAAAACTAATCTGTGAGGTTACGTGGCTCGTGCCAGGGTCGGGGAGTTGAATGGGAAGGGGGCATGAGCAAACTTTCTGAGTTAATGGTGGGGTGAGTTATACAGGCATATGCATTTCTCAAACCTCATTGAACTCTGTGCTTGAGATCTGGACATTTCACTGAATGTAAGTTATACCTCCATAAAATAAGTAAAAAGACCCTATACCATAGGGTTGTTTTGGAAGTTAATAAGAAAATAATCTATGCGACATAAAAGCACAGTACCTACCACATAGTAAGTGCTCAGCAAATGGTGCCTTATTACTAATAATGTCCCTGGGTGATGATGTTATTGTTTGTTGTGATGTGTCTTGTAGGTGGAATGAAGTAACTCGCAGAATAGAAATGTGGATCTCCATATTAGAATTGAATGAGTTAGGGGAATATGCTGCAGTGGAGCTTCATCAGGCAAAAGATGTCAACACAGGAGGCATCTTTCAACTGAGACAGGTACTAAGTTTATTTTTGTTTATTTCATGTTTTCTCTTTGTCCTGCTCTGACAATTTCCTGAGAATTTTCTAAGTATTTGCTTCTTTGTTCCCTAATTCTTTTTCCTCCCTTTATCCCAATTCTTCAACTTCTCCCCGTTCCCATTCCTGGCACCCATTTCCCCATCACTCACCCACCCATCACACCCCCCCGCCTCTGCAGGGTCATTCCCGGAGAGTGCAAGTCACAGTAAAACCTGTACAGCATTCAGGGACACTGCCGCTTATGGTTGAAGCTATCTTGTCAGTATCCATTGGCTGTGTGACTGCCAGGTCCACCAAGCTCCAAAGAGGGCTGGACAGTTACCAGGTAAGACAAACAGACTTGAAATAACAGAGACTGGTTAATGCAGAATTAAGGCAGTCAGTGATCTATGATGGAGACCTGTTTGGGAACATAACAGAACTCCTCGGCTTAACCATGTATCTGCCCTCGCCCACATTCATATTTCCATCCACTGCCTTTTTTTCTAGATTTAAAATACTGTATTGGCTTAGGATTGATTAATAATCATTTTATTTATAAACAAATATATTAATGCTATAGTACTCATTTACTTCAGGCATCATTTATTTTACGTCTAGCCCAATTACTTTGGCTATTTGGCACTGCTGCCTGGCCAGATCCACTTTTATTAACATAAAATTGCCCCTATACATTGGCATAATTAACCAGCTCTTTGAAAGCTCTACTTTTTTTTTTTAATTAAAAGTTGTCCTCATAATCATTTTTGTCCATTAAATCTCCATTTACTAAACTTCTGTTTTCATTTTAAAAAATTAAAAGATATAAACTTCATATTACCAGTCAGAACTCTCCAGTACTCTGTGAGAATTAACTTTGAGATTAGGAAACTTGTCCCCAGTGGCCTGAAAGAAAGCATATGCTTCACTAAGTCCCGACTTTACTACCAGATATGAAGTTGGGACTGGGGAGAATTGGACCATTAAATTCCGACTCCCTCACTGCCACATGTGAGCGGGAGCACTCTCCCTATCACGATGGGGAGAAAGCATTTCGCTGTGGAGTCTGGGCCTAACCCAAGCCCTTCTCGACAATGATTCATCCTCTATCTCAGTTTCCTTTTGGCTTCATGGCATTCAGGCAAAGACTTTTCTGAAAGCTAAGAAGAGCATTGGCTTGGGCTGTTGGGCCTTAAGGAAAACGTAGCTTTGTCAAACACTGCCTTCCCTATCCCCCGCCAAAATTCCCTCCGGCTCTTAAAGCCTGGGGAGGGTGTGAAGGTTGGAGGGCAGCGTTTCAGGAGAGACTCCTCCACTGGACTTTTCCTTGTGTGTGGAGTAGGAAATTGGACTATATGTGTTCTCATCCCAGTTCAGTCCCTCACTTGGCCATCAGCTTCGGGGTGGCTGCAGGGCCTGGTAGAAAGAGCACTAGATGTGGAGTGGAGAGATGCGGGTTTGTAAGTCTAGGTCGGTCTTACTGAATGGTTCCTTTGGGTAATTTAAACTTCAAGTTCCCTTTTTTCTCTTCTCGAAAACAATGAGGTAGACTTAATAATTCCCTGCGGTCCCTCTTTGCAGTAAAATTTTGTGGCTTAATAAATCTCTGATCTTGGATAAAACTTTGAAACTCTGCATCCTAAACTGTGACATCCACAATATGGATCACCAACAGACGAAATGTTCCCGTTTGAGAAACAGTATAAGGACTGATTATCTGCACTTTTTAAAACAGCTCTACTTCTTGAGTTAAAACTGATTTTTCTCAGAATTTGAGCTCCAAACATCAGGCTTTCCCCAGTGCTATATGCTCTTTTAAGAGCTTAGTAGATCCATGAAAATTTAAACTGTAACTATTTTAAAGCTTTTCTTTTTCTTTGCTGCCATGCTCAAGGTCACGTCCAGTAACTTTTTGTTGTTGACATGGTGCTTTTGGAATTATTCTAATGCAGTAGCTCAAGCCAATCCAGAATGTGCTGATTTTACAACAGTTTTACATCGTGAAAGCTCAGGCTAGTTTCAGTTAATAGACGTACCTCTTTAGTCTAAAAATTAATGATAAATTAGAACTCTTTGTACTTTATTCATTTATATGGGGAATTAGTTCGAAGAAAATTACTTTAGTATTAGGCTTGCATTTAATAAGTTAGAATTATTTAAATGATAATGATGGGGCTGGCCTCAGGGCCGAGTGGTTGAATTTGCATGCTCCACTGAGGCAGCCTGGGGTTTTGCCAGTTCGGATCTTGGGCACAGACATGGCACCGCTCATCAGGCCACATTGAGGCGGTGTCCCACATGCCACAACTAGAAGGCCCCACAACTAAAAATACACAACTGTGTACTGGGGGGCTTTGGGAAGAAAAAGGAAAAAAATAAAATAAAATGTTTAAATGATAATGATGGTTACCAAACTTTTGTATTTTGAAGTTTTCACAGAGAATAATTTTAACTATATTTTAAATGCTTTAAAAAAAAGCAGTATAGTTTGATGTATACTTAGATAAGAGAATAATTTAGCTGTATTTTTAAAGCATTTGAAAAAAAAGTTTGTCTTTTCTATAACTGACTGCTTCACTGCCTGTTTGAATATTAACGCTCCAATAACCATAGAAAAATGAAAGAAGGTTGTTACATGGCCCAGCATTCATTTTGAGTAGAACCTGCTTCCATATGGATGGATATTCTCTCCAAATGGGGATTTCTTGATTCTTGTTTCTAAGGAAAATTGTCTCAACTAAAACCCTTTTATTTTGCAACATGGTGAATTTATTTTGCCGAATGTTTTTGCCAAGATTGTTATTTTATGTAATTATTATAAGATATTGCCATGGGTTTGGGACAGTTCTGATTTTTCTCAACTGATTGGTTTGGATACTGCTATATCCAGTAATGGATAATGATAGATCCATATATTCAAAACAGTGGCCTGTGCTTTTATTGCAGTAGTGCAGTAGACAGAACCTTGTATGTGGATAGCCTGAGTTCCCAGTGGGCTTTCACCCGTGATGATTTCATCAGTGAGAGTGGTGTGGTGCAGGCAGAAGGGCACTGAGGTGGGAGGCTAGAGGCCCGCCTTTCTATCTGACCCTCCGCCATCTGTGTGATACTTACGTTAAATCGTTTCATTCTTCAAGGCCTTAGCAGCCTCATGGCTAACGCTAAAAGACTGAGCAATAGAATCTAGTTTTGCCATTCTGTCTTTCTGAATCCATTCTAAATCCCCACCAAATAGCTCGCCCATAAATATATCTATTTGCATAACAGTGGAATAAGGCCTGACCCAATGGTGTTGGTTCCTCTTCTCACCCGAGTTTTTTTAATGATTCCTTTCTTTATTTAAAAAAAACCCTGAAATTCTTTAAGCAATTATAGACAAGTGAATTAAATCCACTAAACTCTTTTTGAGATTCAATTAAATGTTTTATTATGCTGATGTTGTGTGTGCTTTTCATTGTAATGTGTGTGTTAAGCTTAAAGAATTATTTTCCTTGTGTGCTGTTTGAGAAACAAAATGCATGTCCTTTGTGTTTATTTTCTTCCTACCAGAGAGATGATGAGGATGGTGATGATATGGATAGTTATCAGGTATTGCTGCTGCTGTCAATCCTGTGGCATGGGGCACAGCTACTGCTAATTGCCAGCATCCGCAAAGCAGAGGGCAGGGAGGAGGCAGGAGGACCGTAGAACAAGAATATGCCGTTTTTCACTTGCTTTTGATTTGCTTTAAATGTAATCAGAGCTACAATACTATTTCTAGAGATTTCTCTGTGAGTTCAAAATTTATAACCAGATATTGCATCTTTGCTATGCCATCTTGAATTACTAGTTTATAAACCATTTCTAGGCGAGACCATTATCACTGTATTAAATTGGTGATCTTAAAAATTATACAGTTACCCATCCATAATCTTGAAGCAAATTCTTGTCTTTCATATGTGAAACCACACTTATTAGTTCTTTACATCCAAGAGACTAGTATTGTTCTAATATGCCATTTTACTTTAAAAGACTCTTGCTGGATAGGAAAACATAGTTATGTTTTGTTTAGCCAGTTTTCTTCTCTCATTAGGACTAAGCTTAGTTATCCATAACCTGAAGAAGTTAAACCTCAGCTTTTTCTTTTGGAAATCTAGAGAAAAAAGTATGTGCAAATGTGAAATTTCACTAGTCAGCACTGACCGGGCTGCTATTATGGAATGTGGGATAATAGTAATGGTCAAGGCGGCAAACCAAGATGAAGTTTTCTGGGTTTGCTTCCCAGTCTTCGTACTGATTCTCCACGTAAATTTTAAGAGCCTGTTTTCTCGGTGTGCCTTGCTCTGTGTAGAGTGTGGATATATTGAGGGTAAAGCCTCAGAGGTCCTCAGGTGTCTGCTCTTAATGTAGCATCTTAAGGGTTCGACTGGAGTTAGGCAAGTCCAAGAGCATTCTGAATAGAACTGATGGGGTTTTTTTTGCCACCTCATAATTTTACTAAGAGAGAAAACAAGCAAACAAAAACAAACCTTAGGGGAAACACCAGCATCCCCTTGGATCTCAGCAACGCCATTAACTAACGTCCTGTGGCTGTCTGTGCGCTTCCTGCCACACTGTTCACGGTGAAGTCCAGCGGCTGCTTCTGGGAGTTCTTACAGCATGGCTGACTGCATGTTGGGTTTTTGCATGGGAGGTTTTTGGTTAGCCTCGCAGTAGTGGTTGGAGGTAAGATCTTTGCAGCAAGTTAGAAAGGTTCTCTGCTGATCTATGCTTTGCACTTCAGAAAATACACATTATCAGGCCATTGAACTATGAACTATGAAAATGCCTGTTGTTTTCCATTCCATTTGCTGTTACGTGGTTTGGGCTCTGCTCATGGTGTCCTTCTGCTTAGAATCAAAACTCCTGCAAATGAATAGCTATAATTTAAATACACACATGCACAGACTATGTAAGAATCATCCAACAGCTGGTGTAGTTTGAGCTTCTCTTGCTTTTAAGTGTAATTATCCTTTTGGAAATTTAGGGGCTCTGATTTCTGAGTAACAGGATCTTCGATCAGCATGCAATGTTACTGAGGCCTCTTTGCTTTCTGGCAGATTAATCACACAGCAATGTTCAATGGCCTTTCCTAATGAAAAGTTTCCTAATCAACTTAAACATCTTTTTTGAAAAAAGAAATAGTTGTCTATGCGTTCTACAGGAACATGTTTTCCCTCCCTGATGTCAGGAAGAAGACTTAAACTGTGTACGAGAGAGGTGGTCTGATGCACTCATTAAACGACGAGAATACTTAGATGAACAGATTAAAAAAGTCAGCAATAAAAAAGGTATGTGAGATTAACCTCTTTCCTGGGAGTGGCTTTTTCACTTCTACACAATGGTGGTAGGTTGTTTTCTTCCCTTCATTGGACAATAGTATCTTCGTTTTTTGAACTCATAACAATTGTAGATATTAGTGAATCATATTATACAATGTTGGTTTAAGAAGGTTTAAAAGTAATAAGTTTTCATAAAACTCTGAGTTAATTACAACAATAAATGTTAAACTCAAATTTTGTTTTTATAAATGCAAATGCGATCAATACCAAATATCTCAGAATGAGGTATTCCAAGCTCAGAACTTGGGACTGACAGCAGATAAAGGGTCACTTCTGAAACCACAGCACTTATGAGGTCAGCCCAGCTACTACTGGGCAGTAGCCATACGCTCAGCTGGGTCAGCGTGGCCTGAAGCTGCCCCTCAGCTCTAAGGATGGAGTTTTCCTCTGCTGGCAATGGCCACTCGGATTCTAGAGTAGAAAATGCTCTTACAACTCTTAGTCTCTCCTTCTGACTTTATGATTCACTCATTGTGGTTGATTCTGCACCAAAGGTCACATCACAAATGTTCATCTATTTCATGTGGAAGTTAGCCAAAATTCTCCTTCTGTAAAACATCGTGGTTCAACGTTCTTGGTGTCTGTCTGTGTCTGTGCTCAGCCTGCTAATGAAAACTCACTTTGACTATGCCTGGGTAGCTCCAGAGTTGGATTATGGATAAGAGAATTTCAAAACTTATCAAATAAAATCCCTTTCATAATGAGCCTCAAGGAAAATAAAGTTAGTTTTTCAGCGTGCAGTCTTCTATCTTTATAGAATGGTGTATGGTTTTATAAAGCAGTGTCACATCCATTATTTCATTTGATCCTTCCAACAAGCATGTGAAGTAGCCGAGTTGTATTATCCCTACTGACATATCAGGAAACTAGACTCGTCTGTTGAGTAACTTCCACAAATTGCAGAACCAGTGAGATAACCCAAGTCTTCTAATCCCCAGTCTAATGTTCTGTTCATTCTTCCTGGCTTATGGCCCGTTCAGCCAGTGACGTAGCCTCTCTGAGCTGATCTGGGTGCTCAGGCTTGAACTTCCAAGTCTCAAACCCTCTTTTGGAATGTGGTGGATATTTAAGCCGTTGGTGGATAGCACCAACTAAAAATCTATTTATTTTAAGTGTTGAAATTGTACTTTCTCCCTTCTTGGTGCTCATCCCCTCATTTTGTCCTGCAGAGAAAACAGAGGATGACATGGAGCGGGAAGCCCGGCTTGTGGAGCAGTGGGTGGGGCTGACGGAGGAAAGGAATGCTGTGCTGGTGCCAGCACCGGGCAGTGGGATCCCCGGGGCGCCCGCCGACTGGTAAGTCCACCAGACCTGACAGGATGGTGCGGATGGCCTATGGCAAGTCACGCAAGTGACTTTCCAGGATTGTCACAGTAAATATGAAGTAACATGAGCTGCCCAGGGAAGGGCCACCTATCTCTAGTGCTGCCTTCCCTTTTTTTCCCCCCCTGAGTAAGATTAGCCCTGAGCGAACATCTGCCACCAATTCTCCTCCGCTTTTGCTGAGGAAGACTGTACCTGAGCTAACATCGGCGCCCATCTTCCTCTACTTTCTATGTGGGATACCTGCCACAGCATGGCTTGATGAGCAGTGCCAGGTCTGTGCCTGGGATCCAAACTTGCACACCCAGGGCCGCTGAAGTGGAGCATGCAAACTTAACTGCTGCGCCACGGGACTGGCTCCTGCCTTCCATTTTTTTCCTCCCCACTGCAGCCACCTTCCTTTCACAGGAAGCCAGAGAGCAGTTATTACCTGGCTAGGAATCGAATACCATATTCCTCAATTCCTCTGCATGAGCAACTTGGACATGGTTTCCTGATCTCCAGAAATTCTCTTATTTTTGGCTCAAAAGAAGGGTGTTTCCAGAATATACTTGAAGAAGGTAGAAAATATATCTTCTTCTTTGCCCTGGTGCCTGCTTAGTTTGGTCACTAACATAGAGTCAACTCTTAAGCACTCAAAAGAAACAGCATGGTATCCTCGGCTGTGGAGTCAAATAGATCTGGATTTAGTTTGCAGCCGCAGCTCTTAAGTATTAAATTTCCTTACCTTCTCTGAGGCTCTATTCCTATCTATTAATGGAGCTACCTTTTGGTACTGTTGTAAGGATTAGAGATCATATATAAAAAATTCCTTGTCCATAGTGCCCATCCATTAAATGGTAACTCCTGCTGCTGCTTATTCTCATTCAGATTCCAAGAATATGTGCTAGGCACTTAAGAGAAATCAGATTCCATTTGAACACCGAATGTACATGTCCAGATAATCTCTTTTGGATAGGCATAGAAACATAGTGATGTTATTTGTGTCTGTAATGATAAATGGAAGTGTAAGGGATTTCATGGTCTTATGAAACTAGAAAATCTGAATTTGCAGGCACGTAATTTGTAACCTCACGTTTCTCCCTGCAGATTCTTCTGTGGTGCTGGAATCCTGTAGATCACATGCAGTCTGTCTGCCAGCCACTTATTATAAACAGCCAGCTCATTCCTAATCTTTTCTACAGGAAAGGATTCACCCTGAGCTAACATCTGTTGCCAATCTTCCTCTTTTTGTTTCTTCTCCCAAAAGCCCCAGTGCATGGTTGTATATCCTAGTTGTAAACCCTTGTAGTTCTTCTGTGTCAGCCGCTGCCACAGCATGGCACCTAACAGACAGGTGGTGTGGTTCCATGACCAGAAAATGAACCTGGGCCACCGAGGTGGAGAGCGTGGAACTTTGACTACTACACCATCAGTGCTTCTCAGCTCATTCCCAGTCTTGTTCTGCTCCTTGAGGCCCTCTTGAGACAGTTCTTACCTCAGTCTCTTGGATTTGAGGTGTTTCCAGACTTCAGATCATCTTAAATGTTTGTAAACTGTAGAGTCCTGGGTCCCATCCCTAGTCACTTTGATTCGGAAGAGAAAAGATGGGCCCAGGACTTTTCATTTTAAGAGACCCCCAAGGTGATTCTGATGCAAATTGGTACATTTTTGATAAAATACTGCTTTGGTTTTTCCTGCACATAACCCCGCCTTCTTTCATTCTCTCCTCCTTTGGGCTTTTAAAATATTGTCTCTTTTGTTTATTTCTTTTGGGTTCTGATCCTGTCCCCTGCTTCTACTCTAACAACATCCCCTTCCCTTTTTCCCATCACCAGAGTTATTTTTAGAAAGCCTTCAAATAATCTTTGTTTCAATTAACTACATGTAATTCATACAACTGGTAGTTCTTTATGTAAGTCACATAATTCCCATGATTTGTGTTGACAGGGCTGTCAAGAAGTGTGAAAACATTTCGTTAATAGAACCTGTATGTCCAAGGTTGTTCTCTTCTGTTTCCATGCCTCTGTAGTGTTTGATTATCTAACAAGACATAAAACACATATTTTGTTATCATTAAATTTCGTTATTAAATTTAGGATCCCACCACCTGGAATGGAAACCCACATACCGGTTCTTTTCCTTGATTTGAACGGTGAGTAGACACCTAACGTTCCAGGAGTTATCATGTTTAGTTAAAGTTTGTAATCTGTTCAGACCCACATTATTGTGATCCTTAAATCACTTTTGTAATCACTCATATGCCGTATCTAGGTGATATTTTCAGTCCAACCAAATATATGTCACCGTGACTTGCAGAATCACTAGAAGAGAGATGTGGATATTTAATTGTAAAAAGAGAGCACTTGGGAGATTGAGAATTGCATACAAAAACATTAAAGCAGTTATTGCTCTGAAATGGTAACAGACCCAGAAAGAATCTGAGAAAGTAATCACCCTCAGAGACTCTGAATCTTTATGCTCTGCAAGGGCCTAGGAATCTGCATTTCTGACTAGTGCCCTTTGCTCCCCACCCCCAATAGTATTGATTCTAGAACATGATCACACTGTAAGCCTGTGTTAAAGGTTGTCCTTTCCTGTAGCAATTAGATTGAACCTGGGTGAACCTAGAACAATGGTTTTCAGTGTGTTTTAGCAGTAAAATCCATTTTCAAAATGAAATTTTAAGTGGAACCCCAAGTGTAGAATACAGAAGCAGAGTTGCTGAGTTTGGTTATGGCATGCTCTTCTGGAGGGCCCTTGGGGTCCTCAAAACACAGCCTGAAAACCTCTCTTCTGGAGCTAAGACCAATCATGGATGAATAGAAGACACGGGGAGGTTGGCTTTGGCTCTTCTTATGAAGAAGTTTTTAAAAGCCTAGAGGTAGACTGAGTGCCTCATGAAGTGATGAGTTGCCTGTTATTGGAGGTGTACAAGCAAAGGCTGGGTGACTGCTTACAGAGATTTGTGAAGAGTGAATCCCACATTGGGTAGAACATTGGAAGAAGATGATCCTTACCTTTCTCCTAAGGCTCAGAACTTTGATTCTAAATTGGTAATTGAATTGCTCAAATCTCTAATTTAGTGTAAGTTATGCAAGTATGACAAACCTAACACTAGGTTACAGGAGGAATTATGAGAAAGCAGCAAAATTGTAAGGTGTGTTTACATAGTGAAAATATTTACTCTGAGGACTGTATATAGAATATATTCAGTCCATTTTATAGGAAACTCACAAAGGCACCCTTTTGGCTCCCAGAGTTGTTTCTTTAAAAGATAGAAGCTCTTGTGAGTATTGGAGTCTATTTCAACTGCAGGATAAGAGATGAAAGAAAAAATTAAAATGCATTACACGTAAGTGTCATCATAGAAAGCACATTGAAAAATTTTTGATGCTTGCTTAGAAGCTGACTTTTCCCCCACTTTTGTTTCTGTGCCCTGGACTTGGTTAGCGGATGACCTCAGTGCCAATGAGCAGCTCGTGGGCCCGCATGCGTCAGGCGTGAACTCCATCCTGCCAAAGGAGCATGGCAGCCAGTTTTTCTACCTGCCCATCATAAAGCATAGTGATGAAGAGGTAATTGACCCTTAAGATTCTCTTAAAGGGACTCAGATTAGTGCAAACACCTGTGGGCATGTCTTCCTATTAGACTGCTGTAGTCTGCTTTGGGGAAGAGGACTGGGAACTTTAAAAAAATAGAACATGTGTATTGTCAAAAATGGTGAGGAAAAACAGCTATGATCCAGTAGAAGTGCATTTATTTTCTTTCTCTAGTGTGTGATGTAACTGCTACGCCTGCGTTGTGTCTTGTTCCCGTCTCCCCCTCCGTCCCCTACACCTAGGTTTCAGCCACAGCCTCCTGGGACTCCTCGGTGCATGATTCCATCCACTTGAATAGGGTCACCCCACAGAATGAAAGGATTTACCTAATAGTGAAGACCACAGTCCAGCTCAGCCACCCAGCTGCTATGGAGTTAGTATTACGAAAACGGATCGCAGCCAATATTTACAACAAACAGGTAGTAACGGGCCCTGGTTCTGCTGTAGCATATAGGAGCTCGAAGTTTTTTCCTTCTCTCTATCATAAAATAGTGTTTTGTGGTCTTAGTACAGTGGATGTGCAGATTGTTACCATCCTGGCCAAGTTACAGTCTGATTCTCATTTATCCAAGATGAGGGGCGTTAGGGTAGCAGAGGTAAATGTGGTCCACCAAAGGACGCTTCCACCTCGACCAGTTGAGACCCATAATCCTAGGAGGCAGCAGAGCTATGACATTTCACTGTTCGAAGGAGGTTAAGTGCCAGGTCCAAGTGGGTTAGTGACAAACCCAGGAGCAAAGGCAGGCTCCAATAAATCCTGTGCTTCTGCTTCCCCAGATGCCATTTCAGAGGTGCTGAGAGCAGAACTGATCCTCTCCAGTTTTCTTCTGACAGTGCCAGGATAGATTGGTGAAACCCCGACAAGATCACAAAGAAGGCAGCAAATGAGAGAGGGAAACAACCACGAAAAACCCTGAATAGGCTGCAAATTCTGTAATCTAATACCCAAATGACAGCTGGACATTGTTGTCCCTCTGGGTTGGAGACAAGGATTTTTCAGTTCAACTTTTTTCTGTTTCGCTGGTATTGTGTGTATCCCAAAAACATAGTACTTGATAATGCTTTTACAATTTGTAAAATACCGAATAACATGTATATTTCACATCACTTAATTCAGCTTTCCTTTTCTACCAGAGTTTCACCCAGAGTTTGAAGAGGAGAATATCGTTGAAAAATATATTTTATTCCTGTGGCGTAACCTATGAAATAGTATCCAATATACCAAAGGTAAAATATATATTACCTTTTAAAAATTTCAGACTATAAGTAATGGAGAAATGTGATAATTCTCAAAAATTTTAAATCATTTTCTCACCACAATTTTAATAGAAATATTGTTCATATAAAAATATTGTAATTACCCCCTTGTCCCTTTAGGCAACAGAGGAGATTGAGGACCGGGAAACGCTGGCTCTCATGGCAGCAAGGAGTGAAAACGAAGGCACGTCGGACGGGGAGACATACATTGAGAAGTACACGCGTGGCGTGCTGCAGGTGGAGAACATTCTGAGCCTTGAACGGCTCCGGCAGGCAAGTCACTGTGAAATATGGGAACCAGAGGATGAGATCACCAGCCACCACCCCGGATGGACCAAGATGAATTTACTTATCAGACACCTTCTCTCTAAAGCTATCAGAGAAGGAAAACTTGAGTAGCAGTCTCATTAGACTAAATCATCACTTTGGCAAAATAGTAACAAAAATAAATTTAACCACAGTTTATTGAATATCTCCTTAAGCACTGTGCCTAAGTAATTTAGATCCATTATTTCTTTTAATCTTCAAGATAACCCTGTGACATAAATACCGTTATAATCTCCATTTGTAAATGAGAAAATTGAGGCTGACAGAAGTTAGCTAACCTGGCCATGGTTACATAGCTAGGAAATGGTACAAAGTCGGGTGTAAACCTAAAAAGCTTGACTCCAAAGTCTGTATGCTTAACCACATGCTATTATTATCTCCCTAATTTTTGGACCCAGGGAACAACAGCAGGACATTCAAGTGAAAATAATCCACTAGGTAGTCAAACTATAAGACAGGAGATGCCATTCCGTAGAAACAGTAAGTGAAGTTATGGAGAGTATCTTTTGAGCAACAAGAGGACTAAGATTGGCATCTGTCAGACAAATCTTCCTTTGGTGGGAGTCCCACCTAAATTGCTGCCTGAGTAAAACTCAAACAGCATAAAAGTCAATTGTAGTTTTTGCAGGGGAGATAATAGTTAGAGGTATTTCTTTTACATTTTCTCTGCCCACTTACATAAGAAAATCCATGATGTAAATGTCTTTAGTCCAAGAATTTTGCTGGTTTTATTTATGAAAAATGTTTTTGATAGATTAAGCAAAAAAAATTAGTGGGTACAATAAGATTCCAGTTTTTTAAATATGAGTGTGTGTGTGTAGGATTGCAGTGATCCTTACTTCTATATTTTCTAAGTCTTCAACAATAAACATAAATTCCTTTTGTCATCAGAGGGAAAAAAAATGTTATTTTCAAATTTACAGGCAGTCACAGTCAAAGAAGCACTTTCCACCAAAGCTCGGCACCTGCGGAGGAGCATCAGCACGCCAAATGTCCACAATGTGAGCGCACCCTTTCATGACGTGTCTCAGGGCCTGGGGGGCGGCACGTGAGGCGGCCTGAGGTCAGGGTTTATGGGTGGGACTAGAACATACGGCGCTCGTGTGGGCATCCCCAAGTGCCAGGCTGCTCCTCAGTACTAGGAAGCGACCAGAGAACACAGTCACGCGTAATGTGACGGAGCCTTTAGTGGAATCTTAGAAATTTCTATTCGTAAGTTATCTCCTTGAAAGAAGTTTCTTGAGAGATAAATTGAACACAGTTACTTTAAGGATGGTAGAGTCAGCTAAAAACCCTGGCTGCCACGGCTTCTGGGTGCTGCTCTTGAGTCAGTTTCTATGCCCTGTTCTAGCTGCCCTGACAATATTACTGTGCTGTCCATCAGGGTGAAAGGGCACCAGGCACCTCCATATAGACACTCCCATAGTCCCTGGCCTTTCCTTTGACCATTTTGATTATCTTCCTCAACCACTTCAGCTAGAAAATCCAATTGACAGAAACTGCTTCTAGTGAAGGGGGACACTGTCATGGGAGGAAAGGGCAGAAGAGCACAGGGACCACATCAAAGCAGTCTGTTTCCAGAAGCAGCAGAGGGAAACTCAGATCCTCCCAGGGAAAAGCACAGTATTATTCACCTTCCTTCAGTTCTCCATAATTGTCAGAAAATGATTAAAAACATGGTGAACATTTATAAACCTTATCTTACAGTAGGCCAGAACGCAAATCCTAGCACATACCTGTAATCATTATCATACAGATTACTTCTCCTGAAACAAGGCAATTATTAGAAATTGATAAGAGACGCATACAGTTTAAATTTTTAAAAGTCTTCTAATTGACTTAGGCATCAAAGAAGAGATCATAATGGAAATTAGGATATATTTAGAAATAAATGATAATAAAAAATGGTACATGTATCAAAACTTATGGGATGCAATTAAAGTGGTACTTAGAGGGAAACTTAGCCCTAAGTACCCTATTATTCCATTTATATGGCAGAATACTAGAGAGTAGAGAAAATGAAAGAACAAAAGCTACAATTAGGAAATTTAGAGCTCTTAAATTAAAACGAAGAGTTAAAAAATAATGAGGAAAGCATTCTATGTTGAGAAGAAAGACCACCTATGAAGTATTCTACCTTCCCTTCCCCCCCCCAAAAAATTGAACCTAAATCTGATTGAGGGTCTAGAGCTAACTGTTAATATTTACAGGGGACAGAGGAAAATGTTAAATGACACCACAGGGATTTAATTAGCAAAATCCAGACTGTGGGAAACTTTACAGGAAAAATGACCTAGAGAAAAGGGGGAACTCGAATTAAAAGAGACTTATGAGATATATCTTCCAATTGCAGTGTATAAACTATTTTGATCCTGGTTCAAAATTAACCTTGAAAATGTTTATATGAGACATTTGAACACTGACAGGATATCTGATACTATTTGGAAAGCACTTAATTTTTTAAGATGTGATAATGGTATTATTGTTGTAGTTTTTAAAAAGGGAAGGGGAACTTTTTAGAGATTCATAGAGAAATATTTATGGATAAAATTTTTTAAAGTTAGAAAAATAAAATCAATAAATTTTTTTAAAGAAGGTAATAAATGTTACAGCATAATTATAATAAATTCAGATAAAGAAGGAAATAATAAAGATTAGAACAGAGATGTATGAAATAGAAAGCAGACAATAGAAAGAATCAACAAAGCTGAAAAGCAGATTTTTTGAAAAGACTGGTCAGATGGACTGACTTCTAGTTAAGATTGATTGGGGAAGAAAAGAAAATGTGAGAGAAGACACAAATATTATTGGAAATAAAAAGGGGCACATCACTACATAGAGAACAGAGATTTAGACATCATAAGAGTAAACCGTGAATAATGTTATGTTAGTAAAAGTAAAAGCTTAAACAAAATGGACATTTCCTACAAACTAAATCGAGAAGAAATAGAAAATCTAAATACAGTTATCACCTTAAAGAAGGTATAAATTCATAGAGAGAGACTATGTTCATTGATGGGAATACACAGTATCACAAAATTGGCACATCTGCTTAAACTGATCTGTGAATTCTCAACATAATTTCTTGTAGGATTTGATAAGCTGATCATAAAATCCCTCCGGAAGAGCAGAGTTGAAAGTGCACATACCTTATCTACAGCCCAAAGAGTCTATGCCTTAATATACGCTCTAGAGATTCTCATAGATACACAGGATGTGTTTAGAACTAAATGATGCTGAAATAGTACATGTCAATACTTCTTGGATACAGCTAGAGTGGTACTTAGGGGCAGTAACAATAGCATTTGTTTCATCATAGTTTATAATAGAAAAAAATTAGATTCAGCCTAGATGTCCACCTAGAATAGAACAAATAATTATCAGACTATTGAAGAATACCATGTATAGTAAGATGCCACTTATATGAATTATAAAAATATACAAAATAATACTACATATTGTACATGCTTACATGTACATATATACATAGCCAGCCCTGGTGGTGTAGTGATTAAGATTCAGTGCTCTCACCACTGTGGCCCAGGTTCCTTTCCTGGTCAGGGAACCACACCAGCTGTCTGTTAGTTGTCATACTGTGGCGGCTGTGTGTTGCTATGAAGCTGAAAACTGTGCCACCAATATTTCAAATACCAGCAGGGTCACCCACGGTGGACAGGTTTCAGTGGAGCTTCCAGACTAAGACAGACTAGGAAGAAAGACCTGGCCACCCACTTCCAAAGAAATGGCCATGAAAACCCTGTGAATAGCAGCAGAGCATTGTCTGATACTGCGCCAGAAAGTCAGAGGATGGTGCAAAAAGATAGGGCAGGGTTCTACTCTGCTGTGCACAGAGTCACTAGGAATCTAGGTTGACTCGACCGGGTCTGGCCCGGTGACGCGGTGGTTAAGTGCGCACGTTCCGCTTCGGTGGCCCAGGGTTGCCGGTTCGAATCCTGGGTGCGGACATGGCACTGCTTGGCAAGTCATGCTGTGGTAGGCATCCCACATATAAAGTAGAGGAAGATGGGCACGGATGTTAGCTCAGGGCCAGTCTCCCTCAGCAAAAAGAGGAGGATTGACAGATGTTAGCTCAGGGCTAGTCTTCCTCAAAAATAAATAAATAAATTGACTCAACAGCACTAACAACGACATATATACATATGTGTGTGTGTATATATGTAAATAGTTAGATAAAACCTGTATGGGGATAATAAACTCCAAATTTAGGATATTGATTACTCCTGAGGAGGGAAGAAAGAAAGAAAGAGGGGAAGAAGAAGGTCATACAGGCTTCAACTGTGTATGTGACATTATATTTCTTTATATGTGTATGTATAATTTATGTTAAATATATAAACCACACTGATAAAATGATTCATCTCTCATAGGTCTCCTCCAGTCGACCAGACCTTTCTGGCTTTGATGAAGATGATAAGGTGTGCACCTGTGCGCATGGCCAGATTACTAGCAGAATCTAAGTCTGGAAAGTTAGGGTATTTTGGTGTTTTTAAAATCTCTGGACTTCCCATCTTAATCTTATGCAAATCATGGTCTCCACATGTCCATTTCCAAGTTCAAATACTTGATGTGAAATTGCTTTGTACTCTGAGTGTTACATTGTTACTTAGCTTGATACTTTCCATTCCAGGATAATACCATACGTAATTGAATATCTTGGATCTAACTCTAAATGATTTAAGAAGGTATTACACTCACCATAGCAAAATCAAAATTATTTCAAATGGGTAAAATTAGGGATTTAAAATTAAAGACATTTTACAACATCATCTTACTCAGCAAATATTTCTCAAACAGGTATGTAAGTTACTAAGCTAGGGGCTGTGAGTGATTCAAAGAGCATAAAGAGAGACTATGTCCTCAAGAAGTTTAAAATCTAGTCCTTGGAGGCAGTAAACTCCTGAGAAGTTGAAGTAAGATTAAATAAGTTTACGTGACACACAGGAGAAGTTTTCTCCCTTTAATATACCACTACTTATGCCAGATTGATACTTTCAAATCCCAGGTATATGTAGAGTAACCATACCAACTAGTTTGCCTGGGGCAGTCCCAGCTTATGCCTGTCACCCAGGGAAAAGTGCTAGTGGAACTATTTCACTCTGAAAAATGTTCAGTTCGGTCTTGAAATGATCCAATCGCCCTAGATACATACCAAATTCATAAAAGTGCCTGCCTCTGGAGAGAGAGACAGATGAATGGGACCTGTAGGGACTCAAAAAGGGAATTTCACTCTATTTGTGATGATTTTACTAAATCTTGAACAAATACAATAAAATATTAACATTTATTCACTCTAGGTATACCTTGGCTATGACAGTATTTGCCATATTATTCAGCACTTTTTCTACATGTTTGAAGTATTTATAAGAATCAAGAAGAGCACATACTGCCATTAAAAAACAGAAGAAGAAAAAACCTCAAATCAGGGCTTCATTTTTTTTTACTCATATTTTTACTTTGTAGGGTTGGCCAGAGAACCAGTTAGACATGTCCGACTACAGCTCCAGTTACCAAGATGTAGCATGTTATGGAACTTTACCCAGGGATTCACCTCGAAGGAGTAAAGAAGGTAGTGGTGAGATTGTTTTTCTGTGTTATTTCTTTCTAATTTCTTAAGGAAAGCATGAGGGAAATTTCTTTTATAGGTGGCATATAATAAGATAGGAAGCAGAGGGGCTGGCCCCGTGGCCAAGTCGTTAAGTTCACGCGCTCTGCCTTCGCAGCCCAGGGTTTCACAGGTTCGGATCCTGGGCACGGACATGGCACCGCTCATCAGGCCATGCTGAGGCGGCATCCCACATGCCACAACTAGAAGGACTCACAACTAAAAATATATACAACTATGTACTGGGGGGCTTTGGAGAGAAGAAGGAAAAATAAAATCTTAAAAAAAAAAAGGATAGGAAGCTGAAATTCTAGTTTGCTAGATGATCCAAAACTGTCTTCTTTAATAGAACCTGTCATGTTTACTTATTTGATTTCTTTTTGCTTTGTATCCAATATATCCTCCAAATAATAAAAATCGGCTTTTTGTGTAACACTTTAGAATTTTCAAATCATTTTTCACACATCATTTCCTGATTTTGAAGTTAGTTTTGAGAGACAGACAAATCTTAATACATTATGGTTAGACTTCATTCTTTCCCAAAAGAATATACACCTCTGTCATGTTTTTGTACTCAAGTTAAAGGATTTTTAGGAGACCATGTCTCTGATTCCTGAAGCAGTTTCAAAAAGGATAGCAGAAGTGAGTTTGATCAGTGACAATATTACTACCTCAATGTATAATCTCTGAGTGTCCTGAAGGGAACAGCATTTTTTGGATATGTAAATCAGTTCTATAACCTTACACCTCATGTGTTACCTAGCAAGTGTCATTGTACCAGTGAATTGAGAAGAAAATATAGAAGGAGGCCCAAAAAGGTAAGAAATGAATAAAAGCAAGAAAGAATAATTGTCCTTCCTTAGTCATATGGAGCAGGGTAGCTTGAGGAAAAAAGTGGCTTGTAAGAAAATTTGTACAGTGTTCATTCATTGAGTATTTTTTGAGCCTCTCCTTGCTGTATGCAGGGAAAGATGTAAAAATGTGCCATTCTAGATCTTAAAATCTAACTGTGAAAATGAGATATGTAGAAAATAAGATATTAAATGATAGAGTGCCAAAATGCACGTACAAATAATAAAGGCTTGAGATTTCAGAGAAATGGAAAAACAGCACGAGTTGAAATTGGTCTGGTAAGTGGCACTTAAGCTGGATCTTGAAGAGAAGATAGAAAATTTGGTTTCTGATTTCTTTGATGCCATCCAGCCCTCTGATAACTCTTTGTGACTTTGCAGATATATCTTCATTCTTGCCTACTTCTGTTTTACTGCTTAGCCAAATTTGCCTATTAATTTCTTTGTTATTCCAGATATTCCTGTGGCTAGGTTATAACCTCACTTCCTGTGTGTTGGTTCCAGTGCTCTGGGCCTGTAAACCCATGTCTTTTTGTCTTCCCCAGGTTGCACATCAGAGAATCCTCATGCCTTAACAGTCAGCCCTTTTAAAGCATTCTCTCCTCAGCCGCCAAAGTTTTTCAAGCCCCTATTGCCTGTAAAAGAGGAGCATAAGAAAAGGATGGCTCTTGAAGCAAGGCCTCTTCTAAGCCAGGAGGTAAATGCTTGACTCATCTGTACCATGTAAAATAGCCGGAATTAAGTTGCCTGTGGAGAAACAATTTGCATTAACAAGTCAGATGCTGCATGTCGACCTGTATGAGTTATCACTCTGGATCCTATTCTGGAATACCTCTTTCTCAAGTAGAATTTCTTATTTGTTGTTACTGCTGTTGTTTTCTTTGTGTTTATAGCTTCTCAACATATTTTTTATCTTTTAAGTGAGAAAGAGATGTTCCCTAGGTGTTTGGAAATATTAAAGGCTTTTATTTTTTTGGATTTGATAAAACCAATTATGCTATGTGCCATAGAATCTATGTAGTCTTGTCAAATTTCATCAGTAGTTTAACTCCAGCCTGCAAAATTGTTTGCTGCACTACTCACATGTAATAAAGGTGTTTGCATTGCTTTTCTAACTCGCACGCATTAATGTGTATTTTGGCTGTCGTCGTCTTCTGTGTGTGATGCATCTGTGTGTCTTAACCTTTGCAGAGCATGCCTCCATCTCAGGCACATAACCCTGACTGCATTGTACCCTCAGGAAGCAATGGCAGCAGCATGCCAGTAGAACACAATAGCAAACGTGAGAAGAAGATTGTAAGTTCTGGAACCATTTCTGTCATATTGCCTGGTGGTGGGTTTAAGGCCCTTTCACAGACAATCGTCCAAATACTTTAGAAGAAATTAAAATATGTATTGGGTCTTTGCTTTTTTAAAAAATGTGACCATCAGTAATGAAATTTTGCATGAACATGGCTATGACATAAGATTTTTCTCAGTGTTCATTTATTTTATTTTATTTTTTTGCTTAGTATAAATTTGCTTAGAAAAAGGGGGAAAGGCACTTTTAATGATTCTAGTCTTTAAAGGTGTAACAAAGAAATCACTTTAACTAATACGGCATCTTTCTAATGTGCCTGTACATATTGCCCAGATTCTGAAGTTAATCTACCTAGAGGAATTGCACTTACTTGGAGTAAGTAATCATGCATTTAGTTGTGGGTATGTTTGAAAGCTTTTTTCGTGTTGCCTGATGCTATTGCCAAGTTCAGTAGTTTGTAGCCACACTACAATCCATCATCACCTGTCATCATCATCTCTGCATCTCAGGTAGCCTTTTTAAATTTGTTGGCCAAATATATTCCAACCACCCTCGTGTCAGACTCACTTTCAGGATGGCTTATCTAAATTTTGCCACAGGTAGGTTGAGACTCTACCTGTAAAACCTCATTCTCTAGCACTTGGTTTTCAAATTACAAACTTGAGAAATAGTTTTTAAAACACTGTATACCAGGCACTTTGGATTACAAATGATACCTCAACTAAAAGGAAAAAAAAAAAAACCTATATATTCTAAGGCCTGGAAAGAATTCTCTAATTTTCTGTCTGAACTTTCACTCTCCTGTGGCTTCCTAGACTTTGAAAAAGTAAAGCAGCTTGGAGCAAGAACGAGCAGCCTGATGTTTATGTCTGCATGTGGTCTGCTCTGTGGGCAGAGTGTGGGAAGTTTCTTTTCCCAGCAACACCATGTCAGATCCATTCCAAGGGCTCATTAGTTTGAGGTTCTTTAACGAGTCTAGAATATGCTGCTAATGCACAGTGTGTGAAACTAACTAGAACTTAATCTGGACGTTCAGCTGGCCAGTCTCCTGCATGCTTGAAGTTCTAGTGGATCTTAAGAAATGACTTTCTCATTCCTTCTGTCTACTGAGGGAAATGGCAAATGGCAAAGCACCATTTTCCCCTCACCACTTTGTCCCTCTCCCCCACTTTGCCTCTATGTTCCCCCATCCCTCTATCCCAAAGCCCCCATCCTAGCTCCTGCTGGAGAAGAGAGTACACATCAACAGCTACTCCTTCATCTCTCCAAATCTTAATAAGCTGGCCAGTCATTTACTTGACCACCCCCTGCTTAATTAATAAGGGCTGCAGCATGAGCTAAAAAAGGCCAAGTGGCTAGTTTGTTACCCCTTCAAATCCTCTGGCTCTATGGCCAATTGGGTCTGTCTGTCTATTCACATGGCACTCACCACCACAGTGCCAGGCACTAAATTTAAACATATTTTATCAATACCTTTTGGTAGAACACACCATCAAGAGACTGCTGGATGACTCTTCTGGGCCTGCCCAGCAGATGGTTTCACTGTTGATAGATTTGACCTCATAGTTATTTTCTTTACTTTCCTTTTAATGTTTTTAAAGAAAACCCATCTCAGGACTTCTAGCTATCAGAGGGTAGGATGGGACCAGAATCTCCAGGCCTAGGGAGCCTCCAGCAACAGCTGGACTCCGTGTGATGGAACATACCGTGAAGCCACTAAGTAGAGTTTCCTGGGACCATTTTTCTTGCTGGGATCTTATGAGAGCGATCTGCCTCTACTCTCCATAGAAACCTGGCTCGCTGAGCACCCTTCATCTCTGAAACTGTCAAATTGTTTGATTCATTTCAGATAGCAGCTTTTCCAGATATTTTGTTGATTTTAAGGGTATTACTTGCTTGCTCTGAGGTTCTGGTTTCTCTTTGGGAAGGTTTCATTTTATTTCTCCCCTTATAAATGGATATAAACCGCTTTATTCCTTTGTTCCTTATTCACTTTCTTTTTCCATTCTTGAAAAATCGGTGAATTAGTGGTTCAGTCTGATCAGGGGTGTTTGAAATCATTTTTGAGAAGCAATATTAAGACATTGTTCCTTTCATTTTTTAGCACATCCAATTACCAAAGTAACCTGTCATTTCACATAAAATATAGTAAATATAGTTATAGCTTCTTAAAGCAAGATTTTGTTGTCTGATCAATTTGGGAAGATATACAAATCTGCTTCATGTCTTGTATGAATAAGATAAAGGCAACGATATGCCTTTCGAGCTTTATCTTTTTAAGTCGTGAAACAGAGAGAAGAGCAGAAAGAAAGTCATTCCTCCCTGTCTTAGGTCTTGCATAGACAGCATATGGTTTATTTCTCTCATTTTACATAAGAAGAAACAAAAGACTTGCTGAGTGACTTGCCCAAGATCTCACAGTTATGAGAGTGTAGGAACAAAGACCCCATCCCTCAGCAGAATTGGGCTGACTCTGGTGACTCCAGGTGATCCCAGAAATAGTGCACTTTCAGTCAACCTTCTGCTGCTCTTTCTAAAAGGGGCTGCCCACACCTTGGTACCATGGACAGAAGTACTGGGGGATGTCCCTAATGCAGTCCTTCTGAAAACAGACCATCTCTCTGATGGATAACACAGAGCTGATTATAGTGGGAGTGGAAATGACTTTAACCAAGGGAAATTCCTTGCAGAGTCACTGCTTTAATGTGGGTTTTAATCCCTTGTTAAAATCAGGTTGTTTTATGGGCAAATATCAGTTGCATAAACTAAATCACAAAAATCAAATCATGAAGACTGTAGCTATCGAGAAGTTTGAGAACTTGACTCCATGCTCCACTTGTAGGTAGAGCTTTAATTCTTTTTGTCCTTAAGACATAGTAGGAAGGTGCTTAGTTTAGTCTCCTTTAAGATAGAATGATAAATAATATTTTTGATATAAAAAGTCTGCCTAATCAAATTCCCTGAACATATGGTTTAAACCAATTAAGTCGTCTCTTTTCCCCTCGAAAGCAATAACTCAATAAACTCTCAGTCTCCTTTTACATGTTGGAAAATGTTTAATCACTCTTCAGTTTTCTTTTTTCTGGAGTTAGTTATCCCCACTCCTTTAGGCTTCCTCTTTGGGTCATTGCCCCACCCCCCAGCCCCATCCTAAGTGTATAATTATGTACTGATCCCTATTTGAACTTAATCTCTTGGGGTTTTTGTAGACTCTTCAGTTTTACTAAGGTCCTTCAGGAATAATTTTTTATCTTTGTGAGTTTGATAAATGTACACCTATTTCTACACATTGAACTCTTGATGGAATATTTCACTCAGCAAAGTTGTATTTTAGGATGACAGGCCTTTCCTCAGTCTTCAGAAGAAATAACTTCAGGCATAAAAAAGCCCCAAATTGCTAATCCTCATCTTCACATTTGGTTTTCCTTGCAACAACTAACTTTTTAGTAATTAATTGCATCAGGGACTCGGGCTTGGGTAATTGTTTCTTTGCCAGCTTAAATCAAAAGGAAATATAAGAGATACAAACACTTGAAATTCAATTTGAGTCTAAACAAGCCAAGTAGAGAATCTAAAAAATATAGGCAAAGGCTACTGATTCAGACCACTCTGTCCAGTCTTTGCTCCTTTACAAACGTTCCCCCCAACCCCAGGGAAATACCCTCGACCCCAGCCCCTTTTTAACAACACCGCTCATTTTAGAGTGCAGCTGAAGAGAACATGGTGAGATTAGTGTTGCCAATAATATTGTTTAGCTAATTTCTTGAACTTTATCACTGATATTTGATTTTCATCTTTGATTAATATCCAAGGAATTAAGACTGATGGTTTTAAATAATTCATATTCAAGTTATTTTAAAAACTAAAAAGCATTGAAGAGTATTAAGCTATTTTTTAGGTATTTAACATCTTATGAGATGCGAAAGAAAATATTGCTATAAAATTCAGTAGAAGAAATTTATGTTCTTTTGTGAACTACCATCTGCCATATCTGTGGAACATGCTCTTCCTCCCCCTCCCAATCCTCTCTCTCCCCCCCACTTCTCCTCTCCCTCTCCACTCACCCTCTTTGAAATGAAACCTTAATACGTAAGGTTCATGTTTTGGTTCCAGGTCTTTACAGCCACCCTGTTGTTATACTGAATGGAATTTCCATCCACCCAAGCAGTGTCCAAGATTGTTATAAGAGCAAGAACCCAAAGTCTTAACTCCTGAGGGCAGGGACTATACTTGTTTTGGCTCAACATTGGTATTCCCAGTTCTTAGGACAATGACTGGCACATGCATAGTGAGTGCTTGATGAATATTTGTTGAATGAAAGTCACATTTTAAAAGAGAAAAGGAATATTGATAATGTCATTAGATGTTTATGAGATTAATTAGAAATGGCTAGATAGTGTTATTATTTATTTTTATTTGAACATAACATACTCATATGTTTTACATTGTTTTCCACCAGATATAAGACAACCATTCATTCGGGGAGAGAGATTGGGGAGTTGATAACATCCACTTTTTCATATTTATCAATCTTTATAAACAGAATTCTAAAGATATTTGACAAAGGAGATTTTCATTTAAATCTCATTGTCTTCCTCACTGTATGGTCAAATCCTCTGTCCATGCCTCTCAAAATCCTTCTAGAAAACAGTAATTATTAGAGTGATTGTTAGTATTTTCCAACCTTACAATATTTACTATAATACTGAGAATGAATACTGAAATTGTGTTCTTTGCCCTTTTGCTGTTGGGTCTTTATTTTACTGTCCTTTCTCCCCATAAACTAGCTCAGAAACTTTTCACAAGTTACCTCATTTATCCATACCTGACTTCCCAAGGTGAAGATTGTAAGTACAAGTGAAACAGCGGCTTTTCTCTGCCTCTGGCTGTCCCTCTACTCATTTAATTAGAAAAGGGAAAACATCATAACTGAAAACTAATCATGAGTAACTGATTAAAAATCTACTGCACTTCGTTCCATGCTTTCTCTCAAACCAGGAGAGGAAAGGTTTTTAATTATTAGCATGGATTGAGCACAGAAGAAATAAATCTCTTTCATATTAGGTGATAATGGGTTCACAGATCTCTGAGAATAATGTACCTGTGTCCACAATAGGTGAAAAGATTTAACCAAACTCAGAAAGAAAAAAACCATTAAACATGTGAATGTGAATGCCTTTAATAGTAAAGTATTTAAAACTTGTCTCAAAATACAGTTGCTATAAGGAGCTAGTAACTGACTTTTGCTTCATTCCTCTAGGACTCTGAGGAGGAGGAAAATGATCTGGAAGCTCTTAACAGGAAGCTGATAAGTTCACAGCCTTATGTACCTGTGGAGTTTGCCGACTTCAGTGTTTACAATGCCAGCTTGGAGAACAGGGAGTGGTTTTCTTCTAAAGTAGATCTGACGAACTCAAGAGTCTTAGAGAAAGAAGTGTCCCGTAGCCCTACCACCAGCAGTATTACCAGTGGCTACTTTTCCCACAGTGCCTCCAATGCCACTCTGTCTGACATGGTGGTCCCTTCTAGTGACAGCTCAGATCAGCTAGCCCTTCAGACGAAGGATGCAGACTCCAGTGAGCATTCCGGACTGTCACATGTTCATGATTTCAGACCGTCCTCAAGCAAAGAGTTGACAGAACTAGAAAGAGGCTTGGTAAAGGATAAGATAATTATGGTGCCACTCAAGGAAAACAGTGCCTTAGCCAAAGGGAGTCCATCATCCCAAAGCATTCCTGAGAAAAACTCCAAAACGCTCCGTAGGACTGGCTCATGTTCAGAACAAGATGTGTTCTCCAGCAAAAATGGCCAACCAGCAAGAGAATTCTTCCCCAGGGAAGTGACCATAGAACACACCACAAACATCCTTGAGGACCATTCTTTCACAGAGTTCATGGGTGTGTCAGATGGGAAAGATTTTGACGGTTTGACAGATTCTTCTACTGGAGAGCTTTCAAGTAGGAGGAACCTACCAAATAAAACGGACAATAAGAGTATGTCAGATGGGCTGCAGGACCCTGGCCAACTGCATTCCTCAGCAGAGAATGACCAGGTAATAAATTCCAGAGGCAGTCCTTTGGGTTTTGTGCTATCAGTGAGCACGCCTAGTTGTGCACCAACCCCCAGAGGCCCTTCACCACAGTGACGTGGTAGAAGAGGTTCATTCAGATGTTTCTGACAGGGAAGATGGACCCACTGGGGAGCCAGCTCACGTGCTACCCAGCTGGCTGACTGTGGGGAAGCAAGTCTGCTTGCATAGTTTGAGTAGGACTATGCAATATATAGGACCAGTGGCTTTTCTAACTGGCATATGGGTTGATGTTGAATTAAGCATTCACTTGGATAAGAATCAGTCAATTGCAGTTCATTCCCTGAGATGTTTAATTACTCGCTATCTGAAGGTGTTCTGGTAGCATCTACCATATTTCATCAAATCTGTGATTTCTTTGATTATTAGATGCACCATTATTTTATGTATCATTCAGAAAAAATACTTCCAGTTAAACTACATCACATCAGCAATTGTAAGACACATCCCAATTTCAGAGATGTTAAAATGTGCAGGAAAAAACATACACCGTAGAATTGATAAAAGACAATCATTTGGTGCCCATAAGTAAAAACATGTTTTGGGGAAATTCACCAGTTGGTGAATTCCTGGAGCAATTGAAATTTGGGCTTTGGAAGTTACCCAGGTTGATTTTTTATAATGTTTAATTTTCATATTGGAACAAAATGGATTTTTGCTAGTATTCCTAGGGAAAACAGCAAATTATCTAAATAAGAGATTATCCACTTCTGAGCGCTCTGCTCCTGAGAACCACCATTTCTTCCCATTCAGGGGCACTGTTTTGGTCCCACACCCCAACCGCAGCTGTGTTAGGGGTATGGGAGTGCCAGGGCTTAGCAAAACAAAGAGCTGACAGAACTAGAAAGCAGCTTGGTGAAGAAGATTGTCATGGGGACATTCATCTCCTGCTTTGCTAAGGAAGTCACCATTTCCACCTGGAGGCTTTTCCCCTGGGTTCTCCATCCTAGCCTTTAAAATTTCAGTACATGGTCATGTATACAGTGTACTCATAAATAAACTGCAAAAACCGAAACAGTGATCTCTTACAATAAGAAAAAGACTCCTTTCCCCAACGTGAGAATAAAGTTACTCATTACTTTTCTTGCAAACAAAACATTCATTTGTTTAAAAGTCTTCACCTTCCTTCACACCGATCTTCATGCAGACTCTGCATTGCCAGCTTACATCAGCTTTTCAGTCCTTCTTCCAAGAAGTCCCAAGACTTGGTCAAGAAGGCCAAGGGTTAATCCTCCACCCTAGAACAGTGTTTCTCAAACTGAAATGTGCGATAGACTCACTGCGGGGTGTTAGGAGATTTAAAAATTCAAATTCCCAGGAGTCACTGCCCTTCACACCTAAGCTTTTACCTCAGTAGGGGGTGGAGCAGGGGAAGAAGCTTTTCACAGCCCCCTCCACTGAGGTAGTACGAAGTGGGGTGTCTGAGGGCTGCACTGGGAGAAACATGGCCCAGAGAAGAGGAAAGAGGGGCAACAACCCCCCTCGTTTCATTGCCTGGATTATTTAGAACCCAACACACAGGAACAGTACCTGATTTTTGCTTTCAGAAGGCTCCAGAATAGCATGTTGCTTGCCAAACATCTCGGTTTAAAAGTAGAATTTATAAAAATATTTGTTGTGTCAGGGTCATGTGAGATTATGGTGATTTTTTTCTTTTCTTTTAAATTGTTTTAGTATTTTTGTTATATTGGTTTTATTAAGTTGTTTTGACAGTGTTAAAGTCTGACAACTTTTTAAGTACTAAAGGTTGACTTTGGTTCTCACCCTGATATGAGTTAGAGTGGAGGCCCAGAAATAACATTTTTTAACTTTGACCTTGGGTCTTACTATCATTGCTTTTCCTAGAAGCTTCACCGTGGGGCTGAGTTTCTCTCTTGTATGGAATAAATTCTAGAACTGGTTTCCATAATAAACCAGATCCTGTGGGTCCCTGTAGGAAGAGCCCCTTGTGTGGGGTGAGCGTGGGGTGGGTGCAGTTTGGCTAGAGGTGGTCCCTGTGGGTGGTGAGGGCAGGTGGGGACAGGAGCTGAACTCACCAGCCTCTGCATTCCAGGGGAGCGCAACCACCCGGTGAAAGGCAGCAAGCACTTCCTCCGCAGGCCGTGGCATCTTTCTTCCAGTCGCCTCAAGAAAGCACCAGTCCCATCTTTAAAGCATGCTGTGGCCCAGCCGGACCGGACCTCAGACCAGCAGAGAAGCCCTGTGCTTCCAGGGCCACCTCCTTTCCCCTCCCAAGCGGGGAGAAGCGGCACTTTGTCACGCGGATGTATCGGCAGCCTCGGCTTTTTCCAGAAAGCCAGAGAACCGAAAATCCTGGATTAATTAAGTGGCAGTATTTTTGTTTGCACTTACTACGCTTCTACACTGTGTAGAAACCTCCACAGATTCAAACAAACTTTATTCTTGTACAATTTTAATCAGTTCTTACTGTAGAATCTGGAGTCAATGCTCTAATTTTTTTTTATAAATAATATATATTATGTATATGAAATGTGTATCTATAGTATGTCTGCTTGGAGACAGACAAGACTGCACACTAAATGCAGATAAAAATGGTTTGTAGGAAATCATAAGGTACTAGACTTTGTTACAAAGCAACTTGGGCAATCTCCCATACACTAGCAGGTGAAAAAGATTTGATTGCCTAAGAACGAGGTCGCAAATCGCTCTTTGCAGAAAAGGTTACAGAAGGCCGTTCTTTATAACCAAAGAACTCACATAAGACTGCACGTTTTTGCTGTCCACTCTTGTTCTATGTGTACATATATGTTTGACTGCAAGTTTGGTGCCAGCTCCCCTTGGCTACCAGGCCACGTGCTGCCGTTCTCTGTCCTCTGTTTCATAAGCACACTGAAAAATCTCACAGCTATATTCTTTGGTCTTCCACCTGGCCCACTACCTGCTGACTCGACATTGTATTATAACCGTTGACAATGACTGGGGCTCTGACTCCAGCAAATCTTAGACCTTGGTTCAGCCCAGCCAGGCAGGTGGAATGCGGAGAGCAGTATTACTGTAAGAAAACACAAGGACATACCAAGAGTTGGGTTGGGGAGGGAAGGGGTGTTCATTTTTGTCTTTTTGTGGTTTTGTTTTGGATTGGTGGGTTTTGTTGTGGTGTGGTTTTGGTGGTGTTTTTACTTAATTTGGGAAAATGCTGAAGAGATGGAACGAGCTATAAAGTTCACGGGTGCCCACTTCACCGTGTTTGCAGGAGATGATTGAGTACAGATGACCCTGCTGTCCATGTCTTCACTTGTAGCGTTCTCCTAGTGATGGAGATGTTGAAGGATTATGTGTGCAGAAATTTTTACAAGGGTACTTTATGTACCTCCTCTGTAGATGCCTGTACACTTGGTCTGAATGTACAGCAATAATGTGTTATGAGAGCGAGAGAATGTGTACAGCCTGCTGTACCTGTTTTCTTTAAGTCCTTAGCATCAGTAAATGAGTAAGATATTGGAGACTTTAATGAAAAGCTGCTGTTCATGATTTTTGTGTATAGTGAGCTGACTGTAGTATTTTACTATTGTCTGTTTAAAAAAAAAGAACTGTAATTTATATCCCTTTTCAACTTTATTGTATTTAATTGGTACAGATTTTTTGTGTGTGTTTTAGAATACAAACTGTCTAATTCAGATTTTAAAACATCAGTTGTGTGTCGTTAATAACTGCCATTAGTTTCAGATCTGTTTCCATGTTTGTATGTGTGCGTGTCCCTGTAGCTTAAACAATAATAGTAACAGCCAACCTTCGTTGAGGATTTACTGTGTGCCGGGCACTGTTCCCAACATTTGATATTTATTATCTCGCTTAGTCCTCACAGCAACGGATGCCATAGGTACTGGTGTTATTAAGTGTTTGATGAATGGAAACTGAGGTAGAGAGGTGAGTGATGGAGAGGGTGGCAGAGCCAGAACTCAGCCTGTTTTCCCATCAGGCTGTCCTCTCCGTGCTGTGTCTGGTGATGTCTCACGGAGGGGCAGGCGTCTTGAAGGGAGGACTGGGCACCTTCAGAGAGCAGAAGGGCTGTGGTGAGTGTCACAGGTTCCGGACTGACCAACACGAGTGGGAAGCATCTGCAGCAGCTAGGACAAACTGTTACACGCGCTCACAATGCTTAAACAGATGTTTAGAGCGAAGAGCAGTGCCCTGCCACCTGAGAAACAGTAGCTAAAGAGAGCTTAGGAAGAAAGATTTATCTGAAAATGGTATTACAGAATCTTTTCAGAAAAATCTCAGTACTTCACAATAGCCTTTCTGAAGTGATGAAGAGTTAGCTCTAGCCTATTCCGGATGGAAGAGTGTCTTATACACACTTCCAGGAGAAAGCAGAGAGGGGAAAAAACCCAAAACTCACTTGAATTTTTTAGAATGGGAGTTGGGGGAAGAAAGCAGCTATTTAATATTTAAATAGAGGATGGCAGCCACGAAAACAGTTCAAGACAAAAAGCAAATTGTCATTCCCTTTACTATTATGAGATCAGTGCTATTTGGTCATTGATATTATCATTTGCCATTATGACTATGGGAGATAGCAGATGGGTTTTAGGTCATATTTTATTGGATAGTTAAATATAGACGTGTTTAATAGTTAATTTCCAAAGTACTGTATTACGAGTGTCATCCTACTTGTTTATGATTTTTGGACACACATTTTATCGTGGTAAAAATATAGCCTTATGTTTCTAAGGTGCCAACTTATGGGAAGAATAATTGTTTATAAAAATACTTTTAGGGTTAGGTAAGGGCAAAATGCTGTCTTCTGTTAAATTATCCTGCTCTAGCCAGTACTTATTTTTAAAATTACAATATTCAAGCTTTAGAACTATGTTTGGGAAAAGATAACTAATTACATGATTAAACTTTATTAAAAAAAAAAAGTAAAGCTTTCTGGTCATGTAATTAAAAATTCTAAGAAGATGTAATTGAATAGATTCTTGCTCTCTCCTTTTCTGGGCCAAGAGCTAAAAACAGAAAAGGATGCTACCGGTGTGCAGTCCTGTAGAGAGCTTTTTGTATTCAGCCTTGAACTTAGCACACTAACACTAACTCTGTAATGTTGAGCCTACCTCCTAAATTAGAAACCACAGCAAAAAGTCAGTCTGTAACATAGTGCAGTTCGTCTCAGGTGTTCTCCTAACCTGGAGCAAAGGCAGTCTGCTCTAATGCCCAGCAGCATCCCACCAGACATCTGGGGCTTACTACAGCATCCTGCTGGTGGGGGAGCCTGGAATGTAGAAGACTCCACGAGAATGCCCAGAGGCGAGCTCTGCCCCTTAATACATTATGAACTGGAGCTGCCAGGAGTGAAAAAAATCCCAAAGTCTAAATTTAACCTGCTTGTCATTTGTTTCTAATCCCCCGAGGTGAGGGGAAAGCTCATTGTAGATTTGAGTGCCACTTAACAATCATTTTTTTCCTGGATACAGCGAGTTAATTTAAGTTGAAATAAAACTTAGTCTTTATGTTTCTGATGTTCTGGGAGACACACTCACCTGTGTGTATGCTTGGAAAAACCAATTATTTTTCCCCTCTGTGAGACTCACTGGGTGCCTGGATCAGTGCATACAGTTCTTAGAAGACTGTGGCTCAAGAACATGCTTTGGGTTCTTCTCACTGTAATCTGAGCCCAACTGGCAACAACCACCATCTTGGAGCTTACCGTAGGTTTTCTCAGCGCCAGCTTGTCTCAGAAAGGAACTCTTGAGTCCCTATGGGACCCTATTCATGAAGACATCAAGAGGCTGATTAATAGAACAGTGAATGTTTTACAAAGAAAAAGGTAAGTTTTGAAATTGGAGTCTCTAGAGGAAGTCTCTGGAACTGGGAACTTGGAGAGGGGAAAAGAGGTCCAGTTTGGTTTTAGAGTTGTACAAATCAACTTGACCTTTTCAAAATAGCTAAACCACTTGTAACTATTTAGATTTTAAAACTGGAAAACTTTGGTGTTTATAACAACTTTTAACAGGTATTTTGGGCCTTTAGCTCCTAAATACCTGGCTGAACCAAACC